AAAAAAAAAAAAAGCGAAATCGCCGTAAACAACGAAACATTACTCTACTTGGAACTGACCTTGTAGTACGATGACAAATGGTGTTCATTGCGCCTTCATCAGAGCACCGCCTCCTTATATCGATCAAGCCAGATCTTGATCACAAAATCAGTAATAGCTGAATGTACTACTTGGAAGGATCTCGGCCGAGAGTTTGTCTTTTTTTTTTTTTTCAACCTGTACGAGTAGTACCTTGTGTTGGTCACTCTGCTGCAAAAGTGGAAACGTTGATGATTGTCACGGCCGAGTCTCACGGATCCGAAATCCTGCGTATATCGGCCGAGTTGAGAGATGGCTTCAAACCATCCGAACGACACTTCACGAAATGTGTATATAAAGCCCTCTCTCCAGATTTCTTCAAAGTTGCTTCTATCCTTTCAGTATACTTCTACAATAGACAACTCTTTTCATTCCAATCATACAGTTTTTAAACCAGCTTCCCTGTGTTTGATATCGCCGTTCTTTCATCTCACATCTACACAAACAAGACTCGCCCCAACTCCAACCACACCCATATCCAAGCAAAAACCCTACTTATCTTTCATACACAAAAAAAAGACATGCACATCTTCATCTCCGGCGCCACAGGCCGCAACGGCCGCATCGTCCTCGACAACGCCCTCTCCCGCGGCCACTCCGTCACCGTCCTCGCCCGCAACCCATCCTCGTCCTCCCTCCCGTCCCACCCAAACCTCACCATCATCCAAGGTAAAAACACAGACAGAAAGAAAATCTCATATCCCTTCCTTCTACCAACATCTTGCTAATGCTAAGAGACAGGCACCCCCTTCTCCGAGAAAGACGTCCTCAAAGCACTCACAACACCCCGTCCCCCCACCGCCATCATCACAACCCTCAACCAGCGCCGCACCTCCGAAAGCCCCTTCGCGCCCTTATCCCCAGACTCGCCCCCCGACCTCCTCGCCTCCACCACAAAGACCCTCCTCGCAGCGCTCACAACCCTGCTCCACCAACAAGGCCAGGCGTTCCCAGCAGCAGCAGCAGCAGCCCTCCCCAAGATCGTCGTCAACTCCCTCTTTGGCGCCCGCGAGTCCTGGGCCTCCATGATCTGGCCCCTCCGCGCAGTCATGAGCCACAGCACCATGAAGCTCGCCATCAAGGACCATAACGCCATGGATAGGCTGATTCGCGAGAGCGAGTTGGGGCTGACGTATGTCTTCGCGAGGCCGGCGCGGTTGACCGAGGGCCCGCCGGCGGGGGAGGAGGAGGTCAAGGTCAAGGTTTGGCCGGATGATGGGAAAGGGTGCGGGTGGAATGCAGCGGTGAGTAGGCAGAGTCTGGGGGCGTGGATGGTGAGTGCCGCGGAGACGGATGAGTGGGATGGGAGGGCGCCTGTTCTGACCAATTGATGGATTTGAGAGAGGACTGGTGTTTGGGTTTCGTTCTTTTCTTCGATTTGAGAGGGTTCAACCTGCTGGTTAGTATTCCGACAATAGGCTTGGGATTAGTACGTGATACTGTAGTCAGAAGGAGTAGTGGTGCAAGGGGCAGTAAATTGATCAAGTCCGACATCCATATCTCATTTCCTTGCCCCAAATCATCATCCGCTCTGTATTGTACATTGTCCGACACCAAGGGGAGAACAGGAAAAAATAAACATCCATTGTATCTGCTCGAAATATCGCACGCAGGGGGTATCTCCATCTCTCTCACACACTCTTCCATTCCCATGAGAGCAAACCGAATGTGACCGACCATCATACTGGGATCCAAATCCTCGCGAATCAGTAGTCTTTATATCAGGAACAAGTGGCCGTAACGACATCGCTTACTCAAGCGTAAAAGAAGAAGAAAGAGAAGCAGAAGTATAGGCCTTATTACAATTGTCAGACGATGAAAGAAAGATCAAAGAAGGGAAAAAAAAAAGAAAAAGAAAGAAAGAATTAATAAAGGCATAATAAAACGTATAAACGTAAGACGAGTGGGTAATCAATCCCAGCCATCCCACATGATCCAGCCGCCCAACGCCGTCGTCTCCGAATGGCCGCCCATGCCGTAGCCGTGCTGCACGTACGGCATCCTGCCATGACCATACGCCTCGTGCGGATACTCGTTGGCGGCGCTGCCGCCGGCCAGAGGTAAAGCGTGGAGCTTGTCCATGGTCATGTTGCTCGCCCTCAGACAAGCGTCCAGCAGGCCAAACAGATTGTGGGTGATCTCGTCGCTGCGGACGTCGGCCCTCCTCACCGTCTCCAGCACAACCGCGACGCACACAATGTCCTTGAGGTCGCTGCCGCGGACGAATCCAACCAGGAGATCAATCGTCTTCTGCACCGTGCCAATGAGCCGCGACGGCGACCACAGCATCAGGTCGTCCGGGATGTACGCCGGGAAGTCATCCGCGGGGCTCGGCGAGGCCCGTATGCCGTGCTGAGCGAGCAAGGCGCTGTCAGCAGCAGGACGGACGGCCGGCTTGACGAAGTAGCAGACGCTCAGGGAGGCCTGGATGACGTCCCGCCTCAACATCTGCAGGTACATCTCCGACACGTCTCGGAAGTGCGGCAGCGTGTGGTCCAAATCGTCCAGGTAGTTCAGAATCACCATGCAGGACCGCAGATACGCCCGCGAGATCTGCGCCGGGGCGTCGGGAACCCCCATGGCAAAGGGCCGGTACAGGGCCAGCAGGGGCCGCCGCACGTGCATGTCGAGGACGACGCGGTCTCGCCAGAGCCTGCTCTTCTGCGCGTCGCTGAGGGACGCGTGCCGCGGGAAGATGTAGTTGATGTCCTCCATGAACCGGTCGAGCTTGCCGCCCACGTCGAGCACCTCCTGGTAGTCGCGGATGGTATCGATGCGGTTGATCATGTGAGCCACCTTCATCCGCGTGGGAAGCGTCATGATGCTATACATTTGCATCTGGCTGTCGGTCGCCTGGTCAAGGGGCCGAGACGGCGGCAGCTCCGTCATGTCGGGGAAGAGCTCGTTGTCGTCGACGTTGCGCGGCGGCCGGCAGGAATAGTCGCCGTCTCGGGTGAGACAGGGCATGTTGGAGGCCAGCGACATGTACAGGTCCATGTCGAGGACGGTGAACCACAGCCTCCGCCGAATCTCGCCTTGAAACACCGTCATGCGCGGCTCGAATTCCGAGGGGTCCCTGTGCAGCCCCATGGACATGGCCATGCGCACGACGAAGCCCAGATGGTTCCACGAATCTTGAGGCCGCTGGATAATCATCCTCTGGGCAAACAGCAGCAGCACCTCGACTTGCAGCGTGGCGAGCTCCACGAGCTGCTTGCCCTTGAGGCTGTCGAGCCAGCTCCGGACGAGCGCGCACGCGGTCGGGATGTGCACGCCCTCGACGCGCTCCTGGTGGCCCAGGCCCCTGGATTTGGTGTCGAATCTCGACGCAACAGCCAATACCGACAGCATCTGCGGAAGAAACTGCTCCGGAAGAAACTGCTCCGGCTGCACATTGCCTGACCAGTACTGGTTGTACTGCTCCAGAAACGTCGGGCTGTGGAGGATTCTGTATTGGGTCTCCGAGGTGTCAAAGTAGGCCGCTATCAGGCGGTCACAGACTGCCTTCTTGGGCAGGATGTCCGTCATCCTCTTGCGGATGGGCATCATGGAGTCGACAAAGACGGTGATGGGCGTCAGAGACTTTGTCAGCTCGCTTCGCAGATGCTTATGCAGGGTCTCGAAGCTGGGAAAGGGCTCCTGCCGGAAGTTGTGGGCTATATATGCCTTGGCATCGTCAAACTGGGGGAGAGTAAAGAGTCAGCCTCCTGCTGTGTGATAGCCAGGGGATAGAACCATGAGAGACGAAAGGCCCCCAACAGTCGAACGATGCCCACTTACCAGGTTTAACAGTACCCGGGGGTCGTTCTGCCCAAAGAAGCGCGTCCTCGTAGCCCCCCGTTTGACCGTCAGTCCCCGTATCGTCTCTGGCGCCGCGGCGACGATGCTGCTGCCGCTGCCGCCGCCGCCGCCCTCGGCCCTGCTGGGGCTCCGCACGAGAATTTGCTTCTCCAGGCGCTCCATGCGTATGGACAGCTCCTCGAGCAAGGGGAGGCTGTTGGGATCGCCCGCCTTGGCCGGTCTGGGGGCGGCAGCATCGCCGTAGGAGGCGGCCAGCGCAGGCAGCGTGCCGTGCGAGTAGTTGCGCTTGGCCGGGCGGCCTGGCTCGGCTCCCTCCGCGTCTGAGCCGTCGGAGAGGTTGGCCGAGTCCTGGTCGGGAGCGTACCTGCAGGGCCGGTTGGACTTTTGGCACTGGGAGCAGGGGCAGAGGCGATCGCAGCGGAGCTTTCGTTTGCGACACTCGGTGCAGGACTTGACGGGCCTGGGCCGCTTGACGCTGCGCTGCTGCTGCTGCTGTGATTGCTGAGGCTGCTGATGTGACGGTTGGTTCTGCTGCTGGTTCTGCTGCTGGTTCTGCTGCTGCGAGTGGCCGAGCTGTGCCTGAGACGACGCGCCCAGGAGATGCTGGTGCGGCTGCTGTCGCGGCGAAGGCTGCTGAGACACGGACGAGGTGTCGTAGGGACTGGCCCCGTCACTGGGATTCGAGGCATCGACAACCATTGCCGGCGACTGCGACTGCGCCGCTCCAGGCTCCGAGACGGATGGAAAGGTATGCATTGAGGCCATCCAGACTGACGGGGGGTGGGAAGGAGAGGCGAATGATGGACGTGCGACTGGATCGGATTGGGACGGATGGACGAGTGGACGGATGGGCGAGGGCTGGGCGGCCGAGTGATTCGGCCGATCGGAGAAGGGGGTCCAAGAAGAGGGTCGGATCAGGCAGTCAAGTCAACCTTGGAAGGGCAACTCTGTGATTTGATGTCAAGGAGACGAGGCCAGTCGCTTATCTAACGGCAGCACGCCAAGCATACTGGGAGGGATGGACTGGGAAGACAGGCGATGAATGACGGCAAAGGAGCGGACGGGATGGATGGATGGATGGATGGATGGATGCAGATGAAGAGGCAAGGGAAGGGGGAGGCTCTTCTGCAGTCTGTCTGTCGTCTGTGTCGGTCTCAGTTTGTTGTCTCTGTCGTTGTGTCCGAGTCCACGTCTTTCTCTGCCTCCGTCACGGACTGTCCCCGCCTCTTGTCCTTGCAATCACACCCTCCCGTCTTTTCATCAACAATGAAGACAACAAGAGCTGCTCCTCACTCTCTCTTTTCCTTGCTTCTCCTCGTCTCCCAGTCTCCCCAGTGAATTCAACGGGCAATCACACCAGAGGAACAACCACCAAGACAAGGAAGAGAGGAGCCCGAACCACAGAAAATCCAGCTTTCCCAGTCTCTACAGCGCTGTCCTGCGGTGCGCCCTCAGATCTCAGGTATCAAGGGTACTGACGTCGAGCCTCTGGCTGGCGCATGTCACTTTTCCGCCCAGAAAAGAGATGCATGTAGTAGTAGTAGTAGTAGTAGTAATAGGATAGGTAGGAAAAAGAAGGACGGCGAATGGCTGAGGTTGTGATCGGCGTTGCTGGCGACCAGCGAATCGAATGCACGGCCAGCCTCTCTGACTGGACCCCCATGTCAAACCAACGCCGGAGCAATCCGTGCCTTGTCCTGCCTCTTGTCTGCTTTTGTTCATGTTCCCCGTCAGATTTGCTAGTGTTTTCTGATTTATTTCATTATTTTATTTCATCTGACCAGTCATGAGCAGCGGAATGCTAGCGCTCGACTTATTAGCTGGTCTTGGATTTCTTAGCGAGGCGTTTGGGCTCGGCCGAACCACGACCCTGTTCTTTGTCTCTCGGAGTGGGGGGACCAGCCCAGCCAGAGCTACCTTTGCGAGCAGGCGGGAATACTAGACTATCGTGAGTGAGACTGAGGCTGAGATGATGATGGGACAGTTGTCTTGTCAGTGGTCCAATCAAGGTACACGTCTGTATCATCATCACGCTGAACCTAAACTCTCTCTTATCATCTTTCTTACGACAGCCTGTAGGTGAGACAAACCGGCACACAAGCTCTACTACTACATGAACCGTATTACGTGACCTGTGAGCCCTGCAATCGCTGCGGCAGAGCAAGCTGGAACTCTATCTATCATGATACCCAGACGGGCCTCTTCTCCCTCCTCTTCTTCCTCCTCCTCTTCCTCCTCGTGTACTGCCAGCTTCTGCCTCCTGGCAGCTCCGGTATCCCTGGCATCTTCAGCGCCTTGCAGCCGCAGCCGCAACAGGGGCGTCGCTGTGCAATGAGGATAGTAGTAGTATGTACTACCGACAACCGCGTGCATGTACGATACATACGTGCATACCTGCATACCGCAGGGTGATCGGGGTTCGAAATGGCAAACAGTCCCGTTGAACCCTGCCAGACAGGGGGGTGTTGTTTAGATCAACCCTCCATCCCGTCTCGGCAGACGGTAAGAAAACGGGCAATAAAGAGGAAGAATCCAAGAACAGCGCTTGATAGTACCTTATTACCTCCCTTACCTACTCCTCGAGCAGTCCTCAAGCCGCCAGCTAACAAAAATCATCACTCGGCCGTGTCTGCGGACAAAACCTCCGGCCCATTGCGCCAGCATCCCAGTTCCCTCGCCCGAGTGGCATCATCCCCTGGCGTCATCCCCAGCTCCAGAATCATTATTATGCCTCGTTCTCTCACCTCTCGCCATTCATTTCCATCTCCTCTGCGTTGAAATCAGTGCTTCTTTAAGCCAAGCCTCCTCTCACACTCTCTCCCTCACTCACACTCTGTCTAGCTCTCTAGTTCCGTACCTCCTCCCGGCCGAGAGAGACAGCAAGGCATGCAACCCTCTTCTCCCGGGGCCGGGGCCCAGAATAATATAGTCTTGCCTTCTTCTCGCCCTAGGCCGCCCATTGGCTGCTCCGTAAATGTAAGGCCAAAGGGGGGAGGGGGGAAGAACAAGCCCTGCAGCAAATAGCGCTGGGGGATCGTCGATGCAAACTAAAAGCAGGCTTTTTTTGTTTTGTCTTGCCCATGATGGAAGAAGATGAAAGAAGAGAGCGTTGCACAGTGCTTGCCCGAGACCAAATGGAGCGAATGCTTTTCACTGTACGTTGCCAAGGTCCGCAAGCTACCTTTGGGTTTTTGAGACGCCTTGGTGGCATTATTCCGCTGAGAAGATGCCTGTCCAGGCGACACCATCGCCCGGGAAGCCCGCCGACACACATATCATCATCCTCTGTCTTTTTGTCTCTTCTTCTCTTCTCATCAACTGTTACTTCCCACACTTACATACATACATACATTCATACATACATACCTACACACGAGTCAAGATCCCGTCCCCGTCTTTTGCCTGAACCACCTTTGATTGGTCCTTCTGGCCGTTATTACACCACCCCTTCAATTTCTCCGCCGCCTTTATCTTGAGCCCTCAACGCAATGGCGGTTTAACCGGTCAAAGGCCTATTCGTCCACCGCCCCCCGAGCGAAGAGCAAGGGTCCCTTCTTTTCAGCTTGTGTCCGACCACTAAAGTACTATTTGCTATAACTACAATCACTAGTTCTGTCATTCGCGCAGGAGTTGCAAGGCAACCTTGTTCAACGAGACAAGAAGTGAGAAGGAACAAGAAACAACGATGTGGCTTTCGGCCGATAAACTGGCATCAAGACAAGTTCAAGTCCGCTAGCCAAGGATTCTTCTAGTATTACTTTTCTTCCCTTTTGCCCTCGCACACACTGAACCAACTTCTGCAATACCTCGTTGCACTGAACCAGGTCCTGCCAGCCTACAACTACATAGTAGTAACTATATCTAGTAGCTCAAGCCCATCTACTCCAACTAAAAAGACAACATCCCCTTTTCTCGGCCGGGATCTATTAATGCACTCCGATTTCCCACCATTCAAGGTTCAAGGCCGGGCAGATGTTCCGTCACATTTTCCCTCTTTTATTTCTTCCTTTCTTCCAGTGCTTCCATGCCCAGTGACCTTGTTGGGTACCCTACCTTACCCGAGCCACTCAGCACCATGAAAAGCTGCAAGCCCGCTGTATATGACAAAAGGCGCAAACTAGAAATAAAAAATTATGAATGGCCATAAGATTGCGAGGAACCATCGTCCAGCCAATCCCAGGCTGATCGGAGCGAATGCCGTGCTTACTGTCATCTCTCTCATCCTTTGTGCCGGTAGGGTTGTGAGCATCGTGATTGGACTTTGTGAGCGGAATGACATTCTGTCCTTAATCTCGTATGCTGCTTGTGTGTTGGTGTGTCTAAGGTATCTTGGTTTCCCCCATTCCGTAAGGCTCTCTTTGTTTCTCTCATTCGGAGAGTTTCAACATGACAGGGCAATATCTTGCCATTGTGTCAAGACTCGTCGTCATCCCGGAGACTTGACTTACATGCGCGCGCACACACACACACACACACACGCTTTATCACGCCAACAAACTACTACTACTGGCAAGCATCTGCCGCACCCTTACCGGGCATCTTTTTGCCCCCTTCTCATCCGCATATTTCGAGCCAGTTCAAGTCTCCGAGAAACTCCCAGATTGTAAAATCTCGGTTGCTTCTTTCCTCTCACAAAGCCCTCAACGCTTTCCAGCTCTTCTAGATGAGGCCTAAAGCTTCTTTCTGTCTCCGACGCCGTGTTTTTTATCACATGGTTCCCTGCTCTTCTCTTTGGTAGGACTTCTGTTTATATAAGGAGGGCAACTCTCCTGCTTTGCTCTGTCCTTGTAAACTTGTAAGCTTGTAAACTTGTAAACTTGTAACCTTGTAAACTTGTACTTGTAACCTTGTAACCTTGTAACCTTGTAACCTTGTAAACTTGTACTTGTAACCTTGTAACCTTGTAAACTTGTAAACTTGTAAGCTTGTAAGCTTGTAAACCAGTAAACCACCGCGTAGAGTAACCTCCCCTCGTAGCAAGCCCCGTAGACCCCCCCCCCCCCCTTGGCCTGGACGACTTCTTGCACTTCTGCAGTGAACATTCTCGATACACGTGCATGGGCAGGATACAACGGCCCGTCTTCCAGGGCTGAAAGAGCAACAAACCCCGGGCTAGTACGGTGATATATAATCGCGGCACACGGGAATTGGGAGAGACAGATAAGCAAAAGGGAAACAAGATAGATTGATATTCCGTGATAGGGTACGAAAGTCCTATCGGCAGTTGTATTTTTTCGACATGCCATATCAGTCCCTGCTAACCTAGCCTCCTACTACTTACTCCTACATAGATAGTCGTACACTGTACTCAGCCTCCTTCTATACATCTAACAGCAACATGGAGCATCGGCGGATATCTCCCTGCCGGTCGCAGAATGACAACACCAGCAAGCAACTCATGAAGCGGACACGGCATTCCTCACACCCATTACTCCCGCCGACCCTCCTCGGAAGGCCACGCCCCCGGGAGATCCGCAGTTCCCGAGCCATCGCCGTCCTCCTCCTCCTCCCAGTCGTACTGCTCTCCGGCTGCGCCATCACCTTCCCCCGTCGGGTCCGCCGCCGCCGCGCCTCCCCCAAAGCCAAACATCCGGACGAGCGCGCGAATCATGCCCCGGTCTTCGTTGCTCACCGGCACGGCCTCCCCCGCGGCGGTGCCGTCCTCGGCCTCGCGATTCTCATTGAGGAAGGCCCCGTTCTGGAGCTCGTCCACCAGCCGGTCCTCGTCCTCATGGGTCGCCGGAGGTACCCGCCGCGCGAGGAACTCTTCCAGCTGTGCTATCATGGCGTCGAGTCGCTGCGAGCTTGGCACTGCTTCCCGTCGCTCCTCGAGCCAGGGGAGTCTGCACCCTTGCGCCGTGAAGATGTTATCCTTCTCTGCCGGTGGCAGGGGGTCGAATTCGTAGTTGGGCTGCTGCTCCAGCATCTTGCGCGGCACCAGCGCCAGCAGTGAAGTCTGCCCGTCGATGTAGGCCAGCCGGGCGGCACCCAGGTCAATCGGCAGCTTGTCCTGTGGCAAGGACTTTGCGTCGACCCGACCGAGGCCCTTGGCCACATCCTTCAGAAGCCCAATTGCTTGGGGGTTGTTCCACAGATCTTTGGCCAAATACAGGTACAGCTTCACCCAGAAAGCGCTCGTGTCCGATTCGGCATTGATGCCCCAGACAGACGGTGGTGCGTCGAGATTCAGCTCCTGAAATAGGGCGCAGTATAGCCAGGGCACACGTTGTATGCCCTCGGCGAGATGCTCTCGCGCTTGCTTCTCGTCGCCAATCTGCAAGTCCGCCAATACTCGGCTCTGCTGGATATACACCGTGTCTTCCCGGTTGCCCTCTGGATCCAGCTGATTCAAGAAATCGAGAAGCCAGTCCGCCTCGTAGGCCCTGATGGCTAAAAAGTGAATCAGATGCCTCATCGCATAAGGGTCAGTACGATCCAGAGTGTAGAGAAGCTTGGCCCACTCCAGCGCGGTCCTGTAGGTCCCCTTCCTGATGAGGCTCTTGATGTAGTGATATCCAGCCAGCCAAAGCTGTCGGTTCTCTGGCCGCCTAAAGTTGAGACGAGCCGTTCCCTGCTCGAGGTGCTGTCTGAATGAGGGGGGAGCCACCCGTCCAAAGCTGAACAAGGCGCGCTCACACAGCTCCGAGGCGAGCGCCATGTTCTGGTCCTGCTTCGCCACGTTGCTCACTTGTAGTAATGTTGAGACATGGTAGGCTATCCATGAGTGTTAGCAGTTTATTCCAAACGAAGAAAGGGAAACACTGCGCTTCTTACGAAATTTGATGAGGAGATGCACCATCCTCATCGGATCGCCTATCTGCACCTGTGCGAAAAACATGTGCTGCGTCCGATCGTACTCTTGGTTGTGGAAAAAGGTAAACTCGACTCCGGTTCCATCGTACGTCTTGCCGAGCTCCTTCAAAGTGAGGCCCCCAGGGGAGCCCATCGGCCAGTGCTCTCTCCCCTGTATGAATATGTTGCGTCTCCGGGAGACTTCGGGGAGCTTGCGAACGCCTGGCGGCCCTCTCAGAAACGTCTCCAAGTCCACGTTCTGCGGCATGAATCCTTGACGGCGCTGCTCCGCTTCCTCTGCGTGCGCCGATTCAATGGTTTCTCGGCCAAACAGGTTTCGCATCTCATGGACTTCCTTGAGGTTGTACAGGTTAATCTTGAAGAGGCCATTATTGGATGCGGGAGTAGTGCCCGGAGCAGAGGCTGCCTGAGGCTTCGGCTCAATCTTCAATTCCCTGATGGCCCTGTCGATTTCATCGTCCTCGCTGTGCTCGGCATCCTGGGTCGGAGCCGCTGCCTTCTTCTTGCCCTTCTTCTTCTTCTTCTTAGTCTTCCGGCTGGTAGCCGCAGGAGCTGGCACGTCTGGCGCTGGTGCTTGCTCTTTGCTCTCATCAGCGTCGTCGGCTTCGGCCTCATCTTCCTCTTCGGCCTCCTCCTCCAGAAGCGCGGCGAACAGATTCGGCCGAGGTTTTGCCACTATAGGAGCGCTCTCGTCATCGTCTGTGTCGGCATCACTGCCTTCAGGCTCTTGGATGGCCTTGGCTTCCAGTTCCCGCTGCTTCTGCAGCTTTCGAAGCTGTCTTGTCGACATTTCTGAATGAGCGTTCCCCGCAGAGCAAGGCCAGAATGGAGTGAATCAGTATACAGAGTGAATGGCAAACGATCTGAACAAAATAAGAAGCTCGCAGTGTGTGAAAGAAATGACTCGGAATAAAGATATCGGAAAGGTGACTGAGAGTAGCTATGCGTGTCCAAGTGCTGTCGTGAGTTAAAAGTGTTGAGAAGGCCACAAGTTGAAAGCTTGTTCAATGTGGTTTAGGTTAGCTGCATTGACAGCCGCTGAAATATCTGATGCTTTGATGCGTCACGCCGCCTTGCGCCTAGCGGGGCTGAGCGGCAAAAGTCTGTCATCATCACAATCATGGACACGATGGAAGCTTTTCACGCTCATCACTTCTGGGAGTCAATCTCGTGCATTGGCTTTTCTCTCTACACAGCAAGTGCACAGATTCTTAGTGAAACAACAAATGAACGAAAAAGATTCAGTTCCTGGTATCTCTCAACCAGTCCTGGGAGTCATTAGGATTTGTACAGGTTCGTTATATAAATCGCATGCTTGTCCTCAGCTTCATTGTCCAGTGCAAGAATTCAGCTTATTCCTAAGCGCCTTCCCCTACTCCTAGTGTTCATTCATCATGCCTCTTCAGATTCATGAAAGGCCCATCCGCCTGTGCTCCCTTTAAAACGCAAACCGAACTCCCGCATCGTCGCCGAGGTCCGCGACCAGTGAAATCCATAGCTCCTATCCTGAGCTGAAAGCAAAAACGATGACTAGTAAGATGTTACCCAGCTGCCGTAAAGCAGCCTAGACGATGCAAACATTGGATGGTTTTGGTACATTGGTGCAAGAAGATTAAGAGGGAATAATGATGGAGGGTGGGTTAAGCGGCATCGCGTTGCTCATCTCGTCGCCTAGGACGTGACGCAGCAATCTGCTCGTGATGTTGCAGCCTCGAGAGATATGGCAGTGGTTGCATGAGAGCGAATGGTTCCTATTGGCCAGCGGCCGCGGGCTGAAACTGAGGGCGGGGACCTCCTCGTCCACCACGGCTAAAGCCGCGACCTGCTCCTCGGGTTCCGCGTCCGCGACCACGTCCACGGTAGTTTCGGTAACCGCCGTCGACGCTTCCTTGGCCAAACGTCTCAATGTTCCTCCGTTGTTCCTCGCCGCGCCACTCGCGGCCACCGGGCTTCTGACCGTTGTTTTCGGCTCTCTCCTTGGATTCGCTCGAGATGTTGTCGAAGAAGGATCTTGACTTGTTGTATGCCACCGGAGCGGCGGCGCCATCCTGTGGCTCCGAACCTTCCTCTGCAGGCGCGGCAGCAGGCTCGTTCGCCGGAGAGCCTGCGCCGGCTTCTTTGACGAGCTCTTCCTTGTTGAACTTGGCGTTCGACTGAGCAAAGTCAAAGTCCGCATCGGGGACTTCAACCTTGGCCGGACGGCCGCCGCCGCGCCCACGGCCACGGTTCGCAGTGCTGCCTCTAGTGGCGTTGGCGTTGGCGTTGACGCGCATCTCGTTGACCTTGTTAGTCAGGTTATCCATGGCATTCCCGCCGGGGTTGCTCAGTTGCGCCATCGCCAAGGCCACGGCCGCTCTGGCTGCACTCGTAGCATCCTGTACGCTGCTTGGTCCTGCGGCTGAAGGCTGGGAAGCAGCTTGAGCTGCCTTCTCCATCGCAAAGGGAGGCTGGAAAGGCTTGGTCGTAGGGCCTGAGAGGGGGATAACGGGTTGGACACGGTTGTTGCCCCTGGGACCAGTGGGAATGCCCTTGGGCGCATCGGTTGCCTTCCCAGCGCCATTCGGTGGGACCGCTGTGGCAGCCGCTTTGACCTCCTCGGCTGACGGCTTGGACTCGACGGGAGGAGTTGGTGCGTTGGGGGGTTGTCTTGCAGCTTGAGCGTGCGACTTTGGCTCTGTCGGGGGAGCTCCTCTGGGCTTGTCTGCACCGGGTCCAATGGGAGGAGGTTTGGAGTCCTGGGCCGATGAGGGCTGTTCGGGTGCACCCCGCTGGCCTTGAGTGGCGTCGGGACCCGGGGGGCCACCAGGACCCGGAGGAAACGGTGCGTTGCCCCATGGACCCGGACCGCCGGGTCCGGGAGGAAAGCCCTGGCCCGGAGGGAACCAGCCTGGTGGCGGAGGGTACATGTTGCCAAAACCTGGTCCAGCCATAGGGGCGGGACCACCCCGTCCCCAGGATCCTGGAGGCGGAGGGCCACCATAGAAGTTGTTGGGGGGATATGGGTGTTGTTGAAACCCTGGGGCTCCCGGAGGAGCTCCCGGGGGAGGGTTTTGAGCTGCTCCTTGTGCTCCAGGGCGAGCTCGGGCCTATGCATCGATTCGTTAGTATCAATACATCAAAAAGCTAACTTTCGAAACATAGTGAATAGGATCCTTTCCAGATCAGAAGGAAGGCAACGGAAATCTCTACATGGTTTGCGCATTCGGACAGTGACAAAAGATTTACATCCGCAATATTTCATCATGAAAGGATAAAGGGTTCGTGACAATGAAGAAAGAGCATCACTTACACCGACAATGGCAGGATCGTCGGGCATCACAGGAGGCTTGTTCTCCTTGATGGCGGGGTGCTCTTCAATCCGCAGATCCTTGACATCGCTGCCGCGGAAGACGATGTACTCGTAGACTTGATCTGATGGAGAAATCTCCTCGTCGGGCTTGCCCCTGCGACCCTCTGTGCCGAATGAGCGGACATTTTCGAGAGACACTGTCGACTCGTCCGAGTTGATCTCGTGCAGAGTGCCCACGTAGCTTCACTAGAGGTCAGCGACCGTCTTGGTGAACGAGGAGCATAGGTTCTCACCGAATATCGCTCTTGGAGATGAGAGAAATGCGGGATCTGTGTGTCGCGTGTTAGCCAAGGAGAACCAGCCAAGCGAGCTAGAGTCTATTCGGCATACCCAAGGAATTCAGACATGGCGGGGGCCGTGAGGCCACGTCGACGACGTAGCGAGCGGCGACTGGAGAATTCCGAAGTAGAAGGACAAAAGTGCGTCTAGGCACCAAAAGAAAAGGAAGTACAAAGAGCGTAACGAATAGAAGGCGTATGAGGGGAAATTGTTGGGGGATGGAGAGGGTGGAGGATGCGGAGGGAGGGAGGCGACGGGTGTGGTTTGTGCGAGGAAGAAAGTTTTGTGAGGCTAATAATAAAGGTTGGACGAAAAGCCTGAGAGCTCTGGGAGGAGCCCTCTCACGTAAGCAGCTGTACCTCGGCGTCACTTCGGGAAAAGATCGGGAATGGAAAAGCGGCTGGTTACCCCACATTCTGGTCAGGTTCGTACCTGATCTGCTGATGTTGCTCCAGTCCAAGGCCGGGAGGCCGACCAGCTAAGGTCTTACAGCAGTACGACAACTGACGGCTGCTCGTGGGGAATCACTGAAGATGCTCAGAACGCTTCTATTGGACCTGTATAGGATAACGGAAAGAAAAACACTAGATAGATAAACAAGTGTATCTCGACAGAGCGTGCTTCAATAGGGGCCTCAACAAACACGATTGCCTTCCTCTAGCTGGAAGGCCAGCATTATGACCCTGTTGTCTGTGCTAGTGTGATATATGTGCGTCTGTATGGTGCAGAAAGAAGAAGAAGAAGAAGAATCAAGCACGCGATAAGTCAAGTGTTCAAACTCCGAGTCGCCGACAAAACTCCAAACAAAATCCCAACGTTCATCGAAACTTGCTGAAAATCACAGCAATAATCAAAAGCACCAAGATGGTGATGATGGATATCGTAATCACTCGGTTCGTAGCCATGCTGTTCACCATCAATATCCTGTGCCTTGAGATTGCCGGTCATAGATTACATTACCTCCGAGCCATCCCTCTCAATGTCTTGACACTACGGTCGACGTAGCCCTCGCTGTCCAAAAGAGTATCGTGCGTATGGCGAATAACCTCGCCCTGCCTATGCAGATCGGCCAACGTCTCCGCTCCGATAGCCTCGGTCTCGTGGGCAAGCCTCTGGCTGGAGAGCAGCCTCTGTGTGCTTCGATCGAGCCTTTCAGTTCCTGAAAGCAGCTGCTGTCGTTGTTCCAGGTTGATGTCCGTCGATCCGGATGGCTCGTCAGTGTAGCGCGAGCCAAATAGGGCAGCTCGGTTGGAGGAGAGGCTCGTCAGCTTCCGGCGGCTGGTATCGATGTCGGACTCGTAGTTGCGGAAGCGCTGGTTGACTTTGGCTCGCGCAGATGTCGGGATATTCTGCTTTTCGAGGCGCATTTGGCCAAGCTGTGTTTTCGATCAAACGTTAGCCTTAGCTCTGCAGGTATGCAAGGGCAGCAGTACCAGTTCATCTGCCTCCTCCAAGGCGCGCTCAGCCTGGCTGACGGCTGCCTTGCGTGGCTCGCCAGTCAGCTCGGGAATCTGGTCCAACTTTTGCGCCAGGTCGGCCTGCACGAGCTTGAGCTCCGCTTCATACGAGCTGAAAAGCTCGGAGCCAGCGTCCGTATCGAGAGGGTTCGCCATCTTGCTTGTCGGATTCAGGAGTGAGCGGCGGAAATGACGAGCGCGGCAAGACTCGGTTGTCAAATATGGTGTCGCTGTAGATGCTCGGAAGAAAAAATCGGCGATGGTTTCGATGCTTGCGATGGGCTCAACTGTGTTTCTCTGGCGATGGTGAAAATGGTCGCAGTAGGAGCGCCGTCATCGTACGTAAGGTATACGACGACGACGCTGGACAGGGTGGTTGGGCAATAAGAGAGGGGAGTACTCTCTTACTGCGGCCACGTAGGTACCGGATCCGCATAAAAACTCGCGAAATGGTACCTTGTCATTGAGCATCTACAAGTATCTGAACTTGATGCGCCTCGGTGCAACACGTGCAGAGGATAAAGAGAGCGGCTAAAGTCTGGCAAGTGACCAGCTCTCCGTTAGGTAAGCGGAAAGTGGTCCGTGCTTTTCGGCCGATATTATCTCAGAGAAGCGGGCAGAAATCTGAGTTTTCTTCTTTTCTTCTTCCATAAAGTTGATTCACCCCAGCTTCGAAGAAATATACAGGCTACGCGTCCAGACTTCGGTCCATGGCGCACGGTTGAGATGCTGGGCAGATTGATGCAGGTTTTCCTACACGGCGCTTCTAAGAATTGGTGACTCGTTTTCCACGTTTGCCGATCCCGTTGAGTGCTCGACATGCCATGCCACCAAGGCCTGATTGTGTGTGGTCTCTTGAAGTTCCTGTCAGCAGTACCTTTGTATTACGAGATACCTTACCCTCCAGGGTGCTACGTATTACTCTTGGCAGCAGGTGCTTCTAGAAGAGCACATGTTTACCGAGCCCTGAGAGGCGGTGACCGATGCATGAAGGCGACGATGAAACCGCCGGGCATCCGCTCATGCTTCTGATCGATCTCAAAGCATGTGATAATGGAGGCCATAGGCAGAAAAATATTCATGCTCCACTGAGATATCTCCACGTCGAGGCGTGCGACTGCATCAGAGCACGGTTCTAAGCCGAGTTGGTGCTGGGCGAATGCGTGCGTTATCGCACCCTGGCCAGCACTTACATGGAATACATGCCTTTCATGCAGCATCGGTTTGCTGTCGAGGCCAACCACTCGACCTGCTAGGACCACTCCGTCATGGTGTTCATTTCAGCTGCCGGCTGTCTGCCAATGATCTCTCTCGGCAGGTGAGTATGTGCTGCATCCGCGGGCATCCAATCCTGGCCGGACGATATACTCGTAGATACGCAGTGCTCCCTCGGGTCGGTGTACCTACATACATGATAATGCATGAACTCTGTCGGGAGACAAGAATCGAAGCTTCACCGTCAAAGGGAACCTACGATATCAAATTAAGCTCAACACACCAACAACACGCACTGCACTGATGAAAGCGTCCGTCCTCCAGCCACTGTGGCGCTAGCTCAGCCGCTTGCAGACCTCAAAAGCGCTCAATCGTGTCTTAACCATGGCCGAGACAGGCAGCGGCCCCTGGCAGCCAGCAAAAGGAGTACATAAGGCAGGCCTCTCCTGGCTGGGAAAATCCCCGAGCTGTTCCTGTGGTGATCCGATCCCTTGCCGTCGGCGCACATCACCGAAGACGCACACCCTATTCCGTGCTCCGGACCTGGCCTATACCTGGCCTTGCCCTGCCTTGGCCGACTCCGTCTTCGTACATAACGCGTACATGTGCGGTACTCCATACGTGCGTCTGATGTACATGTACTGCATGCACTGGTCGCGATCGCTGCATGCGCTTGAGGTGACGACTGGCACGAGCTGCACTGCCTTCGGTTTGCCTGTATCGTACAGTTGTAATACCCTGCGTACAACTACCCTGAGTACCCTGAGGAACCCTGCCTGCCTCCTACGATGCCCCTGCGAGCAGAACCGCCGCATGTGTGAGTTGTTTCGATTCTCCTGCGTCTGTCAATAGTACCTTATCTCTTGCGAAGCCGTCGAATCAGGGCGGCGACACTTATGCACAACTTCCAAGGGTGGCGCCGGCAGCTTCGCCCCCCCTTGTCCCAGCCCGTTGCTCGATGTCGGCCTTTTTGACATGTGCAAGTCGCTTCTCTGTGCTCTCCGTTTTCTCGTTGCCTTTTCTCGGGGCCGCTGAGGCCTTCCCCAACTCCCAAATCCCGTCTCGTGTCCCTCACCATCTCCTGGCCCGACGAAAGCACCCATCGCTGCCATGAGCTTCTCTGTTGACAGATATTCCAGGAAGAAGGTGGCCATTGTCGGCAGTGGCTGCTCGGGCATTGCCGCGCTCTGGGCCTTGAACAGGACGTATCACGATGTCTACCTTTACGAGGCTGCAGACCGCCTGGGTGGCCACACCAACACGGTGCAGTGGAAGGCTGGCAAATATACGACGGCCGTGGACGCCGGCTTCGTTGTGCTGAACTCGGCAACCTATCGTAAGTTGACCTGAGAGATGGCTTGTGAATGTTTACGAGTGACTCACATCGACATCCAGCGAACTTCTTGAATTTCCTCAGCAGAATCGGGGTGCCGACTGAGCCTACTGAGTTGACGTTGAGCGTATCACGAGACCAGGGACTGTTCGAATGGGCCAGCACAAGCATGAGCACGATATTCAGCCAGAAGAGAAACATATTTTCCCCGAGGATGTGGAGGACGCTGTTCGACATTATTCGCTTCAGCCAGTTCGCGCTGGATCTGCTCATAGATGATGAGGATTATGAGCCTCGATATGGCGGGGAGCACATGATGAACCACACCAGCAAGACTCTGACCATTGGACAATACTTGGAGCGCGAGGGGTACTCGGACGGCTTTCGAGACGACTATCTGATGCCGCTGGCGGCTGCGATCTGGAGCACCAGCCCCGACAAGTGCGCCTTGGAGTTTCCCGCTACAACGCTGGTCCGGTTCCTGTAAGTCATATCTCCGTTCACATCCATCTTTCAGGGCATTCGTGACTGACTGACCATTGCGTTAGATGGAATCACCATCTTCTGTCGGCTGCCGCCCCACGGCCACAGTGGTTGACGCTCAAGAATGGTGCTCGCTCGTATGTCGACGCCGTCATCAAGGGATTTCCTCCCAATCACCTGTTTCTTAAGACTCCAGTCAGAAACGTCTCGAACGATAACATCGGCAGAGTCATGCTGCATCTTGAAAACGGCAAGACGGAAGCTTACGACCACGTCATTCTTGCAACCCACGGCGACCAGGCGCTGTCCATCCTCGGCGCCTCTGCCACAGAACAGGAGCGTTCGATACTTTCCTGCTTCCAGTCGTCCCAGAACGAAGCCGTGCTGCACTCGGATCTGTCGCTGATGCCGAGGAAACAGAAGGCATGGTCAAGCTGGAACTTCCTCACAATGTCTTCTCCTTCAACGCAAAAGGCCAACATGGATAAAGTCTGTCTCACTTACAACATGAACATTCTGCAACGCATTCCACGGAATCCATTCGGCGATGTTCTCGTCACCCTGAATCCAATCCACCGCCCTACCCCATCCAAGATCCAGGGGAGGTATTTCTACACTCACCCTCTTCATACTCCATCCTCTGTGCGCGCTCAGAGAATGTTGCGCTATATACAAAACCGGAGAGGAATCAGCTATGTCGGCGCGTGGACGGGATATGGATACCACGAAGATGGATTCACCAGCGGACTGCAAGTGGCTCAGGATCACCTGGGTGCTAAGCTCCCCTTTGAGTTCCGAGACTCGACCTATAGCAGAGGCAGGGTGCCGAGGCTGGGTCTGTTGGATCACCTGCTGCGACTCTTTATCCTGGCATTCCAGGTGTTTGTCATCCAGATGCTGGAGAGACTGGTGCAGCTGGCGCAGTCTGGGAGGCAGAGAGCGATGGCGCCGTTTCGGAATGGCTTCAAGAAGAAGCAAGCACGCAAGAAGGTGGCCTAAGCCTTTCCTAATGCTTGCTTTTGTCTGTTTTGATTTTTGTTATTCTTTTTATTATCGTTTGGGAGTACTACCATAGCGCATGGAGCAACCCGACTTTGCACGACGACATGATGCAAGAGATGCTGCGAATGCGAGTTTGTTGATGGCACTTTTTTTTAAGAAAAACAGCATTATAAAAAGTTTCAAGGCCGAGGCCAGAATACAGGGCATATAGAGAAAACAAGGATTATTTGATTTGGTCGAACCTCGAGTGACAATGAGTCCTGTATTGGTAGATGGCTGGGCATCTGAACTCAACTGATCCCTCTTAACGCCAATCTGCAACAGTAAATCATATTGCTTCATATTTTCTGATGCAATATATCTCATCTTGTATCATCGTTCAATTTACATCATATAAGTAGAAGATCAAGGCAATGGGTGAAAGTACCGTCAATGTTTCGCCAGCCCCGAGTTTTGACTTCCGCGCCGAACCGCTGCCCCACCATTCGCGATGTCATGCCACTGAGGATCGGCTGGATTACAAGATGCTGGCGCTAGCTCCAAATCGAGGCAAAACATCTTCAAGCTCTAGTTACCTACCTTAACACCCAACGGCTTTCCCCCTTCATATCGCGACAAACAGCAAACATGAACAACGCACTGCGCCTCGTGCGCAACGGTCCTCCACGGACGGCGGCCGCTTCCTCCTCGCAATGGGCCTGTTTCTTCTGCCAGAATGCGCGCCCGCGGACGGGCAGCAGCCGGCCCAACTTGGCCGAGTTGCGGCGCAAATTCTCGAGCTCGCGGCCTCGGCGAGAGCAGCACCAGACGCAGACGCAGACGCAGCAGCAAGCACAACGGAATGCGACCTATGCGCCGTCCATGGACAGGGTGCGCGAGCAGTACAGTCGGAGGAATAAGACGATAGCGTATGGGAGCTTCTTTCGGGCGGCAATTCGTGGACGTTGAGGCTCATGGATTTTTCTTTGTGCAGCTACTACACCCTCAGCATCATCATGGGCACGCTCGCTCTGTCGTACGGCTCAGTGCCCATGTACAAGATGGTCCGCGCAAATCCCACAATTTCCAGGGGAAAAACCCTTCTCGTCCAGGGAACTAACCCATGGTCTACTAGATCTGCGCAACCACCGGCTGGGGTGGCCAGCCCATCCGAGCCCACGACCAGTCCGGCGGCGAGGGCAAAGAGCTCGCGAGCCGCCTCGTCCCCGTGACATCCGCGAACCGAATCAAGGTCACCTTCAACGCCGCCGTGTCCGACATCCTCCCCTGGAAGTTCGTCCCCCAGCAGCGCGAGGTCCGGGTGCTCCCCGGCGAGACCGCCCTGGCCTTCTACAAGGCGACCAATCTGGGCGACCAGGACATCATTGGCGTGGCAACGTACAGCGTGACGCCCGCCCAGTGCGCCCCCTATTTCAGCAAGATCCAGTGCTTCTGCTTCGAGGAGCAGAGGTTGAATGCCGGCGAGACGGTGGACATGCCGGTGTTCTTCTACCTGGACCCTGACTTGCTCAACGACATCAACATGAAGGGCATTGAGACTGTGACGCTCAACTACACGTTTTTCAGTAAGATTCTCTGCCCTGTCCATCGTTTGCGTTGGTTCATCAATGGCTAATTGAAAGTAGAAGCGAGATACGACAACAATGGCAGATTCATGCCTCCTGCTACTCAGTCATGAGCATTTCAGGAGTCGCCTACGGGGCGGCTGAGCTTGCACGATGCAGCCGAGCGTGGATGTTGCGGTCTGTGTACGATATATCATAGATGAACGACCAGGATCTCGGATGATCTTTTGTACAGCATAACCAATGGAGGTCTCTCGAGGTATTAGAAAGGGGGACCCGGATACATAGGCAGAGTTACGCTCTAAAGGATAAACTATCCCAATTGCTCAGCCGAGCGTAGGGGTGCAAAATGAAATTCACCTCTTCATTCACACCGTCCACATTTTCCCCTGCATCTCCTGAGCGTTCCTCCGCCTCTGCTTGTCTCCATGACCCATCTTCAAGTTGATCCACATCCACGGAAAAGCAGCTGTGATTACTTAAGCAAGGATTTGTCTCCTCAGACGACTTATGTAAGCGCTGCAGCTCCAACTTGCCAAAAGCGGGAAGCACAAAAAAATAGGGCAGGAAAAATCACGTGGCTCCACTCCACTCACCAAAAATTGCGCCCACACAACCAAAAGTTTCAACGACAATCTGGTCGGCTTTTGGATCTCTTCTTTTTTTCCCCCTTCTTTCCTCTCATCACCCAACGCCCGACACGACACCAGGAATACCTCGTCGCCCTTCCAAACCGTCAAGATGGTCAAGCTGAACAAGAGTGAGTTCATCACGTCTTCTCACTCTGTGAGTCTCAATTGAGCATCATGTCCTAACCATCCTGATGATTACAGACGTCCACTCCTCCCGGGGCAAGAGCCGTGCCGCTCACTTCAAGGCCGGCTCCGGTCTGCGCCGTGTCATCATGAGCGCTCCCCTTAGCAAGGAGCTGCGCGAGAAGTACAACGTTCGTCTTCCCTCGTCCCACCAGACTTCCAAACCCTTCCCGGCCGCAAAAACTGACAATCTCCCGCCAAACAGGTCCGCAGCATCCCCATCCGCAAGGACGACGAGGTCACCATCGTCCGCGGCTCCAACAAGGGCCGCGAGGGCAAGGTCACCTCCGTCTACCGCCTCAAGTACGTGATCCACGTCGAGCGCGTCACCCGCGACAAGGCCAGCGGCCAGAGCGTCCCCCTGGGCATCCACCCCTCCAACGTCGTCATCACCAAGCTCAAGCTCGACAAGGACCGCGAGAGCATCCTGGCCCGCTCCAAGGTCGGCCGTGAGCTCCGCGCTCCCAACAAGATCTCTGCTTAAGCGGGGTAATCTTTGAGCCAAAACAACCAAAATTTGGATGAGACGAGGAGATGAATTTTTTTTTCTTCACACGAAACACACTCAACACACAGGGTTTTACTCCATGTGATGCATTCCACGGCACAATGATACGGGGCAAGGAAATGGGCATAGTATACTCCGGCGTTTTTTTAGCGATACCCCGAGGCCACCCTTCTTTTCCTGCAAGGTCGCGCGGCATTTCTTCTCAAGCAGGGTAGATCGAACCAAATCGAGAATTTTACAATTCTCAATGGCCGTTTCACCAACTTTGTCGTTGTGTGAAATGCTCCATGGGAGGTGTTTCCCGAAGACCCTTGGCTCTTGTCCCACAAACTTTGCTGTCTCAGTGAGACCATGTCATACTCGATTTATCTCGTCGAGGAGCTGTTTCAACTCAGCCTTTGTAAACGGGCCTCGTCTCTGTTTTGAAGCAGAGGGAGGCCACAGCCAGGTAGGTCTTTTCGCTGATCTTCGTAGTTGCGTGAATTCGACCGCTAGATAATCTCCGCGTCAACCAACAATACTCATGGTTTTCGAGGTATACGACTGGCGAAGAGCAAACCCGACTGAGCTTCATACCACGAAGCTCTGCCGCTCGCCCGAAGATTTTCATCTTGCCTTTTCTGTAACGAAGCTGGAAATTTGATGGTGAGGAACATGATTTTATCCACCAATACCTGGCCTTTTTGCGCATTGCCCTTGGGCCTGTAAGAACGTAGGGGCAGCATCAGTGTCTACCTGACCCAAGGGAGTTTCCCAGTACTTCCTTGTCTACCTTGACGATCCAATTTCCTCCATGATTGTAAAGCAGACATCGTCGACAGCAAGGTTTTGTAGATATCTGTAAGCACAGAGCTCTCTGCTAGGCTCTATATACCTTATCTGGCATCACGCGGGCGCCCTTTCTGGCCGAAATATATCATCTCGTCGCGTGCCTCATAAAGCATTCTCAAAATAAACGATCACTTCCCCAACATACTTTCACGTTTTGGATGATGTCTTTTCATTAATCTAACAAATCTCAACGTACATCTATAATACAATCGAACTCTAACAATAAGTGACGCGCCTTGAGTCTGTTAGAAAGCAATGATTGGCCGCCCTTCGACACCAGTCAAATGGTCAGGTTGACATGATGCTATTCTCAGATAATTCGTCAAACGAACGAAGTAGAGACAGAGCTGAAAGGAAAATGAAGCCGGAGTCAAGTAACCGGCCGTGATAGCTATTCATACAATTCATAAGTGTGCCTGCAATAAGAGATGATTCGATTGAACCTTTCATGGGGCTGCTCTTTTTGCAGAAATACAGCCTGTGATGCCCCTGAGCTAGAGGACCTGGTGCCGCCTCTTCGAACCTTGAACACCTGGAGGTCGGTTTTCGATCTGTCTCTCCGTCACTGGGCCGACCGGGCTACCATCATTGGGGTTGCCTGACTTGGTTGCGTGCTCTCGAGGAGAGGAGCTGATATTGGTTGCAGTGGGTGCGAGAGACGCAGTCGCGTGGCCGCCGTAGTGAGGCAGAACCCCCTGAGCTGTTGTAGACGAGATCGTTCCAGGAACGGCGTTGCTGCTCGATGTACCGCGCTTCATCATGTCGTGCCAAATTCCGCTGCGAGGTCGCTGTCTATTAAGATCAATGTTAGTGCGAGCCAAGTTGCGGCAGACGGGATTAACCTACCGAGTCTGGCGCAAAGAGTTGCGACCTTTGAACACAATGCTTTTGTCGTCATTCTCGTCTGGGCTATCACTCTCAGATGGAGCATTGGGGCTGGAAGCTGTAGTGATTTCGTAACGGCTTTTGCTGATGCCATTCTTGCCAGAATCTTGAGAGGGAACGTGAACGGGCAAAGAATCAACTTCCTTGTTGGACACGGCAGAGAGCTGAGATGGATCCGACTCGACAGAGATCCCCACGGCGCCTCGCCTATGTTGATGCTCCCGTCGAGAAGATTGAAATGGGTCAGCGTCCGTGCTGGCATTCTTGCCACCATTCTCAATTCCGGGGGCCTTGACAGCCAAGAAATCGTGCTCATGATCGTGTCTCGACTCATTCTTGGGACTGGTGGCCGGAGAAGGTGGATAAAAGTCCTTGCCATCAAACTTGGGTAGTCCCCTTTGGAGGTCGTGAGGAGTGTTACCCCAGTACATGTGTCGAGCTCGGCGCTCCTCTTCGGTCAGTGTTCGTGGATAGACGTAATCAGTGCTCACGGCCTTCTCAGCGCTCACCCCGGCGGGAAGTAGACCAACAAGATAAGGCTTGGTAGTAGCGTTTTGTTCGCGAAGAGACGCTACAGAATAAGCCAAGCCGTCGCAGGTAGCCTGACCGCCCACAGCACGAGGTTGGAATGGGGGTGCAAGTGCTGCGTTGATAGGCAAGGTGGATGATTTCTTGTTGGCACCAATGGTCTCAGAGATGCTCAGCGTCTGGACGGTTGAGGTAAGCTGAACTGCATTGTTCTCTTGACTGGAGATCAAAGTGCTATGCTGAGGCATCGATTTCTGCTTCTCAACTCGCACATTGAAGGACTCTTCGGGCAGGCTTGAGGCACTCTCGACGCTGTTCTCTGGCTTTGCGCTGCTGGGTGGCGGAGACTTTGATCGTTCTTCATCTGCAGACACAGATTTGCTTGTGTTTTCCTTGGCTTGATCTTTCGGCAGGTTTCTTTGCTCATTGGCCACTTGCTCGTCCCGAATCTTCTCAAAGTGCTCAATAGAATTGCGCAACGACTGTGCATGCAGCTCCATAGTTCGTTCATCAATCTGATGCTTGTTGTACTGAAGCTGATCTTCAGCCCATCTGAGAGAAGCGCGAAGAACCGAGAGCTGTTTCTTGGTAATCTGGCTGGCTCGAATAGAGGAGTGGTGCTGTCCAGGGGCGGGCGCAAGTCCTTGAACCATGGGGAATGCCATAGGAGGTGGCATGGCCATTGCCTGATGCTGTGGCATCTGCGACGTCTGTCCGTTGCTCTGGGCCACAGGAGCCATGACATGATTGGGAACGAATCTGTGGCCAGCGCCCATAGGAGACATCATTGGCGGACCTAAGAATCCAGGATGGGGTCCCATGGCAAAATGAGGCACGGCACCAGGCGGAACCATCCACTGTCCATTGTGGACGACAGGCCGAGCAGCATCACCATTCTCAGCAGCGGGAGCCCGAGTCGGGGTGGCATTCTCTGACGCAGCTGCCTCACTCTGCTTGTCATTTGTCGCTGAGTTTGGGTTTGGAGGCGGCATTGCCACCAGACCCGGGACATGACCCATCATATGAGGAGAAGGAGCCATTCCCATGGGTGTTCCCATGTTGAAACCCATCGGCCACATGAATGGATATGGTCCAGCTCCTGCTGGCATGCCCGCCATAGCAGGCATCGGGGGCATGGCAGGCATTCCTGGCATCCCATGCATGGCAGGAACCATTCCCGGTGCAAAGCCTGGAATCATGGCGTGATGCGGGAAAAAGCCAACGGGTTGCGGTAGAGCAAATTGGCCTTGCTGGAGAACCTCCCGGTTCGGTTGGCGGTTGGTGTTGTTCTCGGCTGCCTCGCCTGCGGGTTTGTCCTTTGGCCACCTGGTGGTGGGCGACGGGGAGCCGCGCGTATTGGGCACGATGCGGCCACCAGCGGTCACTCGGACATGAGTAGGCGACACGACTGCACGGTAGAACCGCTGGAAGCCTTCGTCCTTCTGGGCGGCAAGGCCAGTTGGAGCAGACATGGGCTGGGCGCCAACAGGTTCCGGGTCGTTGCGGCCACGATATCTCCACTCGGCCTCGGTACCGTCCAGCTGCCTAGCTGCTTCACCACGGCGTGGAGAGGCATTGTCCGAGCCTGTAGGCATGTCGGCAGGCTCCTCCATGATGCGAGCGAGCGAGCTTTCGAGGGGCATTCGTACAACTTCACCTAGAGCAGCCGGTTAGCAAATACAAATTGCAGATTCCGTGAAGTTTGAGAAACTTACCGAGGTCTTGATCTTGGCAAAGCTTTTCTTGAAGCTGATTGTACAGCTCTTTCTTCACGGAAGTGTTCTTGAGCCGGAGGAGTTCGTGGGGCGTGTATGTTCTCTGTGCCATCTCGAACTCGCAGACGGCAGCGATGGTTGAAGCGGCTGTTTCTCCTTGCAAGAAGAGAAGGAACAGAGCCAAAGAACAGTGTAAAACACTGAACAAAAGCAGTTGTGTGTGTGTGAACGCGACGCAAGCGTGATTGCAACTGGAATCTGTTTTTGTCAGAATTCTGCGAGATAAAAAAAAAAAAAAAAGAGGGATGAAACCAGTCGAATGCCTGTGAGACTTTAACTGCGAGAGATATCTTCACTTTGGCAGCAAGGCTTGGATATGGGATGGCAGAGTGTGATGTTGCCCCAATATTTGCTACCGAGCAACACAGCAACGAGCTCAGCAGGAATGAGGCACTGCAAATACGCTGAAGGGACTTGCGGAGCAGATAAAGGAAGCTCTGGGAGACACGGCCACAGTCGACATGAAGGTGTTGCGTGGGAAGCATGTGAGGACAGAGGAAAGGGGATGTTCCAGCGCGGCGCCAGAAGATCTTGGAGTGGACTTACCAGACAGCTACCAAGCGAGCAACAAGAGGTCTGTATGCATACAAAGCCTTTGGTCAGGCTTCCAACAGGGGACTATCGAGGACAGCAGACTCGAGAGGGCAACAGATAGGGCGGGCGTTGAGGTAGGCTGACGATCGAGAGAAGAGCAGTTTGGAGACTGAGGTGGACAAAAAGTGAAGAGCTGCGAGGAAGCAGATCGAGCACGCAAAGAGCACCGATGAGCTGCTGACCTTGGTAGGCAGGTAGCACCGTACCTTCTGTGGGAGTCGACAAGGTTAGCGAGGGCGAGGAGGTGCAGAGCGAAAGAGGCCATTGATGAGGTACAAGGGCAAGAGGTAGGCAGGTACTACCTAGTACCTCGTACTTACCAGCGAGCTTCGCAATGGAGAAGCTTCGAGGGCCAAAACTTGGAAGCCGCGAACAGAGGCTCGGGAGGAGGTAGGGCAGGTGCGAACCAAAACCAGTTGTCCAAATCAGGGCCAAAATGTAGGACCAAAATGCAGGTGACGTCGTGCGCATGAAGCTGCAGAGACCAGCTTCTCTAGGGAGGCGAGCCTTGTTGAAGAGCCCTTTTTCAGTCAGAACCACGACGCGAGGTCCTTGCCCAGGTAACCCTCAGCGATGCTGAGCTGCTGCAGTCACAGCTCCTCGAGATGGAGGATGTGCAGCTGCAGGCAGGAGCCAGCGAGGGGCAAGAGGGTGACGGCGAGGCACCAACGGCGAGTGTCTGCAAACCAAGGGGGATGGGATATCTAGTTAGGCGTGATGCCTCGACTGGATGCTCTGAGGATGCACTGTATCAGGGATTGTAGATCAACGTTGGCTGGAGGCTGACGGTTGCGAGAGGTGGGTGTGTTTGGCAGAGTTTGGGGAAGTGATTTGGGTTGCGGTTGCGGCAGTGAAGAAGAGTTGACGGTTGGGTGAACAGAAGACCTTCAAGGTGCTGCAGCTGGGGGGGAACTCTGCCTTCTGTGGGCCAACGAGCTCGCCGTAGAAGAAAGCTGGAAGGGAAAAGGCCCTGGTTGCTATGGCACCGCGCGCTAGGAGGCTCATAGACGTGACACCTTGCTGGCCATTTTGATAAGCAAAGCCCGTCTACCGTCTGAGGAGGAGTGCCAGGAGGCTGCCAGACGCGTGTCGGCTGGGCAGACCTGTAACCCCTAACCACATGATGGCTAGTGAGCTCAGTGCTTGACGAGAGCCCTAGAGGGATGCATGGCATGATATGACTGGGGAGCGAGGCATCTGAGCCTGTAGGGACCAGTTCAAGCATGCCAGCTGAGCTCAATGCCTCCTGATAAGTCGTGTGCATCTCCTTGATGTACCAACTCGGCACATGTTAGAGAGCAGTGCTTCCATGTACTGCTGGCATGAACACTGAGGCATAACTGACTGCAATGTCGAAAGCATATGAGTGAGAGCTGAACAAGTTTGCGATGGCCCTCCAATAAGACAGTGGCAATAGGTACCATGACTCTATTGTCTTTGGGTGGCTCTGAGTGAGCAAGTTTTGCAGCCTCACAGAGTGAGATATATTCCCACGCTCCTGTATTAGAAGGTGTATCTGTTTAAAGACATTAGCGACTGAACGTTCAGTAGGAGGCATTCTAGCAGATGAACTTTTTAAACATGACATGTCTTTACCCATCTGTTCTCTTCTTTGGCAGTATGTGCTGGGATTGAAGTCTCCAGGCTCGCCAATCCTCACAGCCGCGACAATAGGCAGCCTGACGACACACAATAGAGGGACACGATAACGCTTAGCAACGCCTGAAACCCAATCTGCCATGCATTCGTACCTTAGTAAATTTTGGTACTTGTGACTGTAGAAATGGCACTGGCATGGCTTGGACTCGCACAGTCACTCGGATGACTCCCACGTAAGGCGCCATCACAGCTCTCAACGCATGGTTATACACGAGCCATTACATTTGGACATGTCTGGCTATGGCTCACCGCGGGAGTGCAATCTCTTCAAGAGAAGTTTATGGTTCTTCGTGCAAGTTAGCAAAGAACTGGCCAGAGGAAAGATAAATTGGATAGGTAGGTGATATGTCGTCTGGGAGACACGATGGGAACCGGCGTAGATGGCAAACCTGGAGCAGGGCGGAAGACTACAAAATCCGGTGGCTTCTGGTCCCGTATGCTTGGAGTGATAATCGGTATGGTATCCCATCTTTCTCCGACTCCTTGGTCCATTTTGGATCGAAACTTTCCCATTCAGCCAGCGATGTAAGCCGTGCTATACAATGTACGACGAACATCGCATCTAGTATAAGTATCTGATACGAGTCATTAATTTCAGGAACCCAAAGTACTCCTCATCTCTATCAAGCCCAGCGTAAAAGAGTTTTCGAGTCTGGACCTGGCTTGCATCCAAGCCGCCGTCAAGGGCAACCCGTTCGTTAGTACTTGGACAAAGACATGATACTTACTACCTCTTGAAGGATGCGCTCCCCATCAACTGCTGCAGCGTCTTCTTTGGATAGCAGCAGCACCACGGTACTGCTGAATGAAAGGAAAGACTAGACAGGCAGTGAGGTCTGTGATCAGGCATGTAAAAAGAAGATACAGAATCTCAGAAGCAGACGGGGGCTTAATTTTTTCAACTTCGTGCAAACGGCCAGACTCAAAAAAGTGGATATCACGTAGGTATCTCGGTCCACAGTCCTCGTGGTTTTTGGTGTTTAGGCGGCTCCCGCCTCGTCAATGCAGACAAATACGGTGCGACAATTGGGTTGTTTAGCGAGGCGCTTGGCACCTTGGTTTAGGTGAACCGCGAGAGTTGGCCCCCCAGGCGAAGCAATCCTCGTTTCGAGCTTCAACTAGGAGCTACACGGTTCATGGTAGTATTAGAGTCCTGGGGAAAGAGGAGAACAATGGCTCCAACGAGGCGAGTCTAGCTCAGTCATCAAAGACTCAAGAAAGGTCAAGCGTATTGCCTCGCTCACACAGTTCCGCTTGAAAGGACTTTATCATGACTGTTAAGGAATCGTGGATACCGATTCCGTAGCTGATATTTGAGGGGGAAACACCAGATCGATGGGTGGAGATCGCATCTCGACTGTGGCGTCTCAAACCCGCACCACATACCCTAGACTCAGCACGTGTATGCAACAGGTGTTGAAAAAGCCCAAGACAGCTCAGCCATCATCATTCTGAGAGATACTCAATGAGAATCACATGTCAATGGCAGTGCAGCGTGCGCTAATGCGTTTCATCACGGGGTATTACTAGACACGTAAGGTACCTCACCTCATGCAGTTGTGGATTCAACTCCGTAAAGGAACCGTACAAGTACTAGGTGTAACTCTAGTTGCAGGCGCACTGGGATATCGGTAAGGTGCGGAAGTATTCATACCTTCGACTCCAAACTACGCTCTGTTTCCAATGTGCATGACATGCGTCATCAGAACTCTCCCTGCTGCTTCTTGGTCCAGAAGCAATCTTCACCTGCAGCGAGCCACTGTCACGACACCCTTTGCTTTTCCAGTTTAGGTGACGAACTAGCATATGATAGGCCCCCAGTCCCAGCCATTACAGTAACGCAACCTCTCCACTCAAAAGGACAGATGGATCGCAAAACTGACGACAAGGAGGTGCCCCAAATCTTACCCCGCTGCCTGTCACGAGCTATTATAGTGCAATGTCCAATCACAACTTGTAGAAAAGGGTGAAGCTACGTATGCCCTTGTTTCCGCGTGGAGCCGCCGACTTCCAGAGGTTCCTCGGCAAGCCGGGAGAGGGAGACAGGGCGAACTTCTACGGCCCGCGGCTGAGCTGGGGAACTGGCGTTCGTTTTGGGGAGCTAGAGAAGATTGAGGCTGGAGTCGCTGTGAAAGAAGGTGCTTATAAATAGCTGGTGGATGGCCCGGAAATCGCTTTGAACAAAGGAGATACTAGATGGTCTTGATCAGCACTAATCTACTCATATCCGACGTCAACTACATAACGTCTCGTTATCCTCAGAATTGCCATTCCAACACATTCATATCACTAAATCCATCATCAATTACTCGCCCTCATCTCAATATACCCACTCACGTACACTTACAATGTCTCCTCTCAAGCCATCCTGGAAACAGCCCTCCCACCCCGAAATCCAACAAGTCATCGTCAGCGACGCCGACTTCATGACAAAGAGCGTATCGAAAGTCTCCCTGCCACCTTTTGGCCTGTTTGCCAAGCTCGAGTTCCCTCCTTGCGAAGTGGCCGCCGAGGCGACTTATGCTACCGTCCAGATGGGCAAGGACAAGCATTTGACGCTCAACAGCGACTTGCTCTACATTAATCACTCTTGTGAACCTTCTCTTGTTGGTCAATCCCTTTGTAAAAAGAAAGAAAAAGGAATGTCATTTCTTGGATAGTCCGTTAAGTAAAAGTGTTCTCTAGCATTTCGATATGGGAAACATGAGGATTGTGGCGGGGCCCAAGGGTCTTCAGCCTGGAGATGAACTCACAGTTAGTTCACCCCTCCTCAGCCCTAAGACGATAACGCGATGGCTGATTCCAAATCCGTGATTTCACGTATAGTTCTTCTATCCATCTACGGAATGGAGCATGGCCCAGCCGTTCAATTGCTTCTGCGGCAAGCCTACTTGCAAAAAGAGCATCACCGGCGCCAAGGATATGCCTTCTCACCTGCTTGAGGGCCTGTGGCTCAATGATCACATACTCGAGCTTCTGGAGGAGCAGGCGTCGCTTCGTAAGGCTGGTCAACAACAGGGCTCGTTGCCTGATAATGGTGGACTTGGTCTGCTTCGTCGCGGGATTACGTCTCGAGAACTGAGTGGAGAGATGAGCGGAGATACTGTGGCCACGGCTTGATCGCTACTGGCCTCTGGATTTGAGGTGCTGTTTGCGCCGATGCGAGGGAGGTCTGGTAGCTGACTTGGATTCAACATCCAAGCCTGCCCCCAACATTGGTGACGAGAAGCCAAGGAAAGATTCAACATCCGGAACGATCCGTCAATTCGGATGATCAAGAGTAAAGGAAGAGGAAAAGAAGACATGGATTTGAATCGTTCGCTAAGTATTGAAGAAAAGAAAAAAGAAAAATGGAAGAAGACTAGCATGTACACGGAAGCTGCCTCTATGTAGACAGATGCCTGGGAGAGTGAAAGATGTACGAGAGAAATTGATTGCAAAACAAGGAACAATGGCCATCGTCGCCGCCGTACTGTCTGTCAGCTATGGCCGCTGAGGCTGTTTTGGATTCCCGACTTTGATGGTACTTCGTTTGCCCACTCATCGCGTTCCAGCAAACGCCGTGCGTTGAGCGCTCGTGTGAACCGCCAAGCCTCTGTATCCGCCATGTTCCAGGCCTCAAGAGAGGTACGCATCTTGGTCCCGTTCGTTGACGACTTGTTCACCATGACGACGCTCTTGGCTCTGTCAAGCAGAGCTCGCTCCTGAGCGACGTCTTCGTCCGAGGCGACGGGTCCATTGAGCCTATCCGGCAATTCAAGCTCAGGTTTAGGCAAGCGGTCAGCAGGGACCGGACTTTGCGATTTTCCATCATTCATAGACTTCTCGGGCAATGTGAATCCAAAGTACCAGTCCAGATCACTGGGCACTTCGTTCTCTGCTGGGAGCCATAGTGAATCGCTGGTTGCAACTTGGCCAGCCGCGAGCTCTTTGAAGCGCATGACCCTGCGATTTGACGAGACTCCAGTGCCGAGATAGGCCATGGTGACGGCACTGAGCCAAGGATCTCGAGGTGATTCCAGGATCCAGGTCGCGTTGATAGACTCTCTGAGATTGTCTACCAGTGCAAAAGACCATGGATGTGGGACGACGCCGATTGAAAAGATCTGAGGTGAATTACGAAAGCGGGAGGGCGTGGAGACAGTCATGGGCGATGCTACGCATGGAAAACATTTGGGTAAGTTGGGAGGACACGTCGAGGGCATTGGCGACGCGGGACAAGCTGCCAGAGATTTGGCAAGCTTCAAAGCACCGGCCACCATGGCCGTGGCATGCTCCGGATGTGGTTTAACAACATCGATGCCTTCGAGGAAGTTGTTTTGCCAGGCCACTAACAGGTGGTAGTTGATGAGCTTATTCAGATTGCGGAGTGTGTCTGCAGTGCTTCCTTTTCTGATGACATTGGCGTACTTGGTCTCGATAACCTTGGGGCTGTAGTAGGCAAGAGGCGTGCTGGTGTGATTCACCGTGATGCTGTCGCTTGAAAGGACCGTCGTGACACTTGTCGCATCGTGGAAATCTTCCTTCTGAAGAACGGAGTAAATTGCCGAACGCACATTATTCTGCTGTCCGACGAGGAATGCGTCGTCAAGGTCAGCCCACTTCGTTAGGTTGGCATATTCCCCTTGTCGTAGGAAGAGTAACAACGGATCTCGTCGGGGAACCGCCGGCAGCACAGTGTACTCTGATAGTATGCCTCCATTCACAGTGTCCCAGGCGAGCCATCTCATGAGATCGACTTTCAGCTCGGAAGACGCCGTCGTTGTCTGGAATCGCTCGTAGCTGGGGTTGTTTCTGGCGTCGACAGCGCCCAGCACAACCGGACGGAACCCTTGCGCCCACCAAGCCCGGCGCCATGTAAGCAGCAGCTCGTTCTCGGCGTCCCTTTCATCCTTTGTCTTCTTGACGGATGAATCATGATAGCAATAGATGGGCGGTCGAGCTTTTAAAGGAGGAAGCAATACCCGCTCATTGTCAAGCGTGATGGAGTTGGAATAGGAAGTCGAGAGCCATCTCTCGTCAGCTACCCAGGACGAGCCGTCGTGCTCTTCAATCTTCTGCCGCGCAGGCGATGCTTGTGGTGATGAAGGCGGCTTGTCGAGTTCCGTGGGAGGCGCGTCACTAGCGTGCGCAATGCTGGTCGAAATGCTGTGGCCATATGCAGAGAGGCCTGGTGAGGCTGGAACCGCCCACGTCAGGCTGCCAATCAGGAGGACGGCCAGGAGAGACAACAGGACTAGCAGCGCGGGAAGGCGACGAGGCGACAGAGGCCAGCCGCACATTCGAGGTGGCTTGAGCATGTTGCAGTCAGTGGTGGCTTGTGGGGAGGGAGTAGTAATACTACTACGACGAAGTCCCATGCAGTCGACCCAAAGCGGAAGAGGTGGTGGCACAGAACTGCTGGCTAGCAGGCATTGGATGTTGTTGGAACGGCTCCGAGGCTGGACGGCATGGTATCACCATCAATGCGGGGGATGCGTCTCTGGAGTCGCGAATCTGGGAGTTGAAGATGATGGCGCGTGGGTGAGGTACGAGATTACATGTACCGAGACAGCATGGCATCTTGATTCTAATCGCCGTTATATGCCCCCACCTCTTCCCTGCACTAAGGTACCTAGGTACAGTAGTACGTCTGGCTTTTTGAAACAACAAACCTCATGGCAGCATCACACGTCGGGCCTATAACCTCGACAGCTCCCGGACCCAATACTACTTCTGCCTCTTCTCAATGGTCAACATCCGAGCCGTCGTCTATACAAACTCGACCCTCACCCTCCTTGCGTCCAGGACAAGTCATGCGCTAATGCCGGCCCCTGTCAAACACGAGCGCTGCTGCTCGAACACTTACTGTGTGGCTGCTTGCACATTGCACAGAGAGGACTCGAGGCTGTGTAACGTCGTTAGTCATGGTGTCAAATCAGAGGCTGCCAGACGTCAATTGATCACCTATGCCTACCTTCGCAAGGAACGGCGGCTAAGGCAGGTAATTAATAGGCAACAGCCCAGATTCCCCACCAGACCGAGTCTCGTGTCTGTTGTGGCGAGCTCGTCCTTTCTTCCCTGGAGAAGGACATGCGGATGTAGGTACGCATATACTCATTCACCAGAGATGACTGCTTCATACACTTGCGATTCGAGTTTACTTCGTGGACTGAAGGGAAACTTCCTTACAAGAGTGTTGGCCCTGCAGCCGTTGTGAATTGTCCACGGCTTCTCCAAATTGATACTGCTCCCGCCGCCCATCTATTGAATTCCTCCCAACCAGCCAGCTGGATTCAAGAGCTAGCTCTCATGCAAGGAATTTTGCCCACATGCTGTCGACCAGCGAATGTGTACCTAAAGGCTGCTCAATAAGCACTTACAAGGCCAAGGTACTGCAGAATAATGATATGCTCCCGAGGAGAAGAACAATAGGCGCGTGTGCGTGTTAACAGGACGTGTAAGTGCGTCCTACCACCTCACGAGGCGCTCACCTTGCCTAACCAATACCAATGCTCGACCGCATGTGCACTCAGCTGCTTCTACCAGTTACTATCTGCTCCGTATCTGCTGTAATCGATCCAGCCCAGGCTGGTCCTTTCGCCTCGTTGGAGTATCAGATCACCTTCACATTGGGCTCAGACCGGCGGGCCCTACATGCAGCTGCTCGCACTCGGTGACTGACTGACAGAATCCATTGAGTCTCCATTACTCTTTTTCTGCCGCTTGGATTTTGTCCCCCTTTCACTTCCCTTTCAGTGTGTAATTTGAGTATAAGGGCCTCTGGAGTTCTCACCTGGTGCCTGCCGATTCCAACCACCGCCTGACGTCGCCAAGCCGATGAACCTCCCGCAAACTTAATATATTTCTTCTTTCTTTCTCTCCTCCATCTCTTCCTTATCACCAGACCATTTCGCTTTTAATTTTCACCTTCAATTCTCTTTATGTCCGCATTTATCCGTGCAGCTCTATAGCGACTTTCCCATCGTGGCCTCCTTTCTGCCGACACACTTGCCTCGAAGCCCGGTGCGAGTACTGGATACATACGCACATTTCGCCTGTCTGCCATCGAAACGCCATGCTCTGAGGAGCTCATAAACCATGGGCTCGGCACAATTCAACCAAGATCTCGCCGCATCCAAGAAGCTGGCAATAAATGGCGTATCCAAGATTCGGCGAGGAGACTCTGACGGCGAAGTTGTCTTTACCTGGTCGCCCAATGACGATACACCTCCCCTGGACATCCAGATACTGATCCTTGGTACGTGCGAATACTCCCAGCTGCGAGCCGACATCGTTGGTGCTAACGTTCGACAGACGTTGACTCTTACCCGAGAGGCTCGAGCGTGTTGATTTTCACGGCATCAGAACACTCGTTCCCCGATCTCTCCTCTCGTCTCGAACGCTTGTCGGCGTCACTTGCCGGCAAAAGCATTAGCACCATCATAGAAACCGTTGCGGAAAAGCTGCTTACCAAGCTCGAAGCCGGCGCCAACGCGGGTGAGAGCGCCATTGTCGATTCCGAAGAAGACGACGACGAATGGGAGTCTGATTATGAGGAATACTCGGACGACCTCTTCGAAATTCCTCGCGCCTCCTCCAAGCCGCGCGCTGCCAACATCGACGAGACTGCCGGTTCCGCCACACGTCTCAAGACGGAATTGCGGATCGCCCAAGCAGCAGGTATCGCAATTGGAATCCTCCCCAGAAAGTCGGTTCTGGACGCTGAATTCTTCTCACTATCTCTCCGAGTCAAGAAGCTTGGTATCCCTGAGCATGCCCTTGAAGCATGGGGCCTTGAGCGCTGCGAGTATTTGGTCCTCTTGTGCCGATTCCCAAACAGCCATCCCCCCATTTCGAAACTCATGGACAGCGAATCCGATGACTACAAGCTACAATGTCGTTTTGGCAAATGCTCCAAGCCCAAACCATCCCTCGACACGGCTCGTCTCGCCTTCACAGCTCCGTCCGACGGAGCCCTTGAAAACCAAGTTGCCCCTTGCAAGGAGGCAAAAGATGATAACGGGAGCTTCATACCTCTTTATGTGTCCAATTCCATCAACATGCTCATGAACAATCACTTCATGACATTGTTGAAGGCGAGGCGGCGTGACGGGTTATCGTGGGACGCAGCTCTGCGCCTTCTGCAGCCCGACTCAGGCAGTAGTTCTTCGCCGCCCACGACCAAGACAGATGCAGGCGCATCTAAAGCATCTAAAGCATCCAAAGCATCTGAAGCATCTGAAGCTCCAGTCTCCGAGAACGCGATACCTTCATTGCGCCACGATTATGCTCTGGATGCCGAGGACAAGTTCAGCCTTCCCATGGCTGCTATGCAGTTCGCACTACGGCATCTAGCCCGCTGTACAAAGTATTGCATGGTCTGTCACCAAAGGGTAGAAGATGGGTTCGAGGCTCTCAAGCCATACGTCTGCTCTAATTCCCTCTGCAATTACCAATTTCTGAACCTTGGCCTGGGAGCAAGCATCGAGCATGAAATCATCAGCAACCCCTACGTCGTCGATATCCTCATCAGCTTTTTCGCTGTCGCCCTTGCAACCCCCAAGGGTCTACGAAACTTCCCCGCTGGTCTCAACATCAGGAGTGTTTTCACCGGAAACAAGAGTCAGGACGCTACACGCCTCGCTGCCGAAGCATGTTTCTTCGACAAGACCATACGCTTTGGGCCGGATCTGAAAAAGACGGACCCCAGCATCAAAGTCGGCGATAGACTAATGATCGTCGTCAACACCTCGTACACCCTTCCAGTGTCGACAATCCTCGATGGAAGTAAGTAGCCTGACCGTTCTCTTCACGCATGTAGCGTTGATCCTTGCAGCGTCCGCTTTCAGGGAATAGTTCTGTTCTGACACATCCCAACCAGATTATGAAAGGCATGTCTGCAAAGTCACAGACATTTCAGTCGATATCTACACATTTGAGGTCATTGCCACCTTTACGGGTCCCCTGAAATCGGGCGGGGTGCCACAGGAACAAGCCCCTACGCAGCTTTCAATGGCCAAGAAAGGATGGGTAAATGTCATGATACTTCGGTACCAAAGCGAGATTGATCGTCTGAACGAGGCTGACCGATCCATTGCCCTGGCTATGGTCTTGCACGAGATTCCATCCGTCCTGGAGATGAGGAAATTTCTCTTGAAGAATCCGGGACAACGCCTGACCTCCTGGAGTCGCCTCGAGAAGCCTGCGCTCACTCTTTTGCAGTGGATTATATCCTCTAACCGGTCTCTGATACTTCAGAACGATGCGGTGCCGCGGCCGCAGGACAGCAGCCAGACCTATTTGCCCAAACCGGACCCGAATCCCAACAGAGTGGAAGGGATACCGCCACATTGGATGCAATTCCGCTTCTTACAAGGAACACCCGAACGCGAGCGTATCTTCACGAGAGAAATTGCGACCCTTTCTTCAGAATCCAAAAAGGATATGGCAATCTTCCCTACCATATTTGCATGGCATGGCAGCAGTCTTCACAACTGGCACAGCATCATACGGACAGGCCTTGACTTCAACAAGGTCATCAACGGACGCTCTTTCGGAGACGGCGTGTACTTGAGCAACAATTTCCAAGTGAGCTTGGCTTACTGCCGGCGAGGGGCCAGTGTTAAGATGACGGGCCCGCCCCCGGTAAGTTCTCGGCTGCCCCTTTGACCCCTATGATGGTTGGCATGCTTTCCATCCATCTCGCGACCGATTCACTAACTTGTGTTGTGCGTAACAGGTTACGTACTGGCCGAACTCCGTGCTCAAGCCGTCTTCTGCCATCAGCATATGTGAAGTTGTAAATCGATGCGACAAATTTGTGGCAACGACACCTCATTATGTGGTTAAGCAGATTGAGTGGATTCAGTGCAGGTATCTATTCGTCTGTGTCGAGCCAAATGCCGAAGCATTACAAAACCCCTTTCCTACCAAACCAAGAGAACCTTGCAGCGGCTACGTGGATCAACAACCGACGAAGAAAATCCTTGCTGGTCTTCGCCCAAACCAAGAGGTGAAGATCCCCTTGTCAGCAGTACCTTCGAATCGCCGGCACCTTGGTCAAAGTGGTGAAGGTGCAGTCGACGGTTCCGAATTGGATCAAACACAGCAGACGGAGGCTGAGTCGCTTGACAGCGACCACGGCGAGACGGATCACGAACTGCTTGTTGATTCCGAAGATGATGAAAGTGCCGCTGTACGATCCAATAAGCGCCGAAGCTCGTCGATAGATTCTGCCGACCAAAGGAGGCCCAAGCTAAGCTCTTCAGAGTATTTAAAGAAGATGTCCAAGGAGAAGGAGAACGCAGCTGTGAGTTTTGAGACAGACTTTGTGCCCGGAAGCCTGGATCTGGACTCTCTCCCAAGGCTCCCAGAACCCAGCTGGGCGTCGACCTCGCCAATGGCAATCCGGACCCTCAACCGCTCCATCAAGGAGCTACACGACATCCAGAGCAAAGAAGACACTGCATCTCTCGGGTGGTACATCAACTTTGACAAGCTTGACAATGTGTTCCACTGGACTGTCGAGATGCACAGCTTCGATCCCGATCTCCCCCTCGCAAAGGACATGAAAGAAAGGGGCTGCACCAGCATCGTGCTCGAGTTCCGTTTCGGCTCAGACTTCCCCTACAGCCCGCCCTTTGTTCGGGTCATACGGCCGAGGTTCTTGCCGTTCATGCGGGGAGGTGGCGGCCACGTCACCGCGGGAGGAGCGATTTGCTCGGAAATGCTCACGAACTCGGGATGGTCGGCGGTCATGACGATCGAAAAGGTACTTTTGCAGATCAGGCTGGGCTTGACGGAGATGGATCCCCCGGCGAGACTGGAGACGATGAAAGGGATGCTCAACACTCGAGACTACGGCATCGGCGAGGCAATTGATGCCTACCAACGGGCCGCGACGGCACATGGGTGGCAGGTTCCAAAGGATCTGAAGAGCATTGGGTCTGCTTGGACGGCTGGAGAGCAGAAGAAGGGCAAGTGAAGGAATGTCATTATCTTGTTGCAATGGCGAGCGTGGGAGATGAGAGAAGAGAGAAGCGATGAGATATCCGTCGAGGGCGATGCTGACGGGATTGTTGTGCCGTCTATATTAGCGAGGTTGCAACGAGAGTCGAGGCGTATCGTCAAATATCTGTCTGCAGGCGGATGAGCCAAAGGTGATTTCAGAGCTGCATCCATACAAAAGCGAATAGATAGTCTAGCATAGGCAAGCATCCAGATGAAGGGTTGTCGACTCATACGAGCTGGCCTCGCATAGCGGATCCGCACAGAAGCACTTTAGATCCAGAAGACATCAGTCATCATTTAATTCTTCATTTCATTCATCGCTTGATATAGAACGGACGTCTTCTATAGCCGAAATAATATACGGCCCGAGACAAAATGCTCAATGTAATACAGGATAGATATACAGCTACGATGCCAAACCCCCCTCAACGCCGTAACCATGAAAGCCATCACATGCCACGAGCGCAAGGGGAAAACACATAAAAGTCCTTGGAAACCTCAAAACAAAGTCTACGATCCGATTTTTACTGTCTATAGGATTTTACACTTTTTTACTTTTTTTTGGAGGGTAATGCGAGTGTGCGAGTATGTGCTCCCCTTTCCACCTCCTTTCAGAAGCTGCACAGAAAAGAATTCCACTTCCCTGGTAATTTTTTTCTTGGTTCTCCAAAGGACGCAATGCAGCCAAGCTGGTCCTTCGTTTGATAATCATGCGATGCCACGCCAATGTCATGCGTAAATGTAAAGGAAAGATGCAAGAACAAGCATAGTAGGCGGACAGTAGTGTAATAGGGGGGCTACGCGCTCAGGTGTGCCGCCCATGCAATGCAAAACCAGACAAAGACTCATCCTGCAGATAGAAACCCCAACTTCTCGCATTGAGACTTTCCAAACATCTTCCGTAAGAGCCAGACGTGCTGAAGGGGCTTCGATCGGTGCGGCCGATCGAGCAAATGCAGGAAGAGCTGGATGATTGTCTTTGGGTTAAAGCAGTAAAGAGGGCCGCATCTCCTCTATGGTAGAATCCAGTGATAGTAAAGCCTCATGCTTTTTGTTTTTTGTTATCGACCTCTCAAAGAGCTAGGGGGTATTGTCGATATAGTGTAGGAAGGGAGGCCGATAAGGAAGTTAAAAGGGGGAAGAAAACGACGAATGAACCAGACCAAGCGACCCTCAAAACCATCAACCACCCGTCCCGTTTGCTCCCTCATCAGCAGTGTACTGACGATTCGCGTGTGCTGATCCAATCAGCCAACTCTTTGTCCAGCCCAAACTTAGGCATACTGGAAGAGCGCGCTAATGGACTCGCCGTGGTGGACGCGGCGGATGGCCTCAGCAAACACTGGCGAAATATCGAGCACTTCCAACTTTGGGCAGAGACGGCGGTGCTCCTCCTGCGGGACCGAGTTGGTCACAATGACCTTGTCGATGGCAGAGGCGTTGACGCGGGCGATGGAGTCGCCACTGAAGACACCGTGGGTGATGAGGGCATACACCTTGGTGGCGCCCTCTCGCTTCAGCAGCTTGGCAGCGCGCGTGATGGTGTTGGCGGTGTCGGCAAGGTCGTCCACCAGGATACAGACGCGATTGGCAATGTCACCAACCAGCATCATGCTGGCGTTGCGGTGTTCTGTGAACTTGATGGGACGACGTTCCTATTGAAGGGGAAATTATGAGTTGCGAACACGAAGACTAGGGGGTCATATTACCTTGTGAATGAGGGCAAAGTCCATGTTGAGACTGTCCGCAATGGCGGTAGCTCGCTTTGCACCGCCGGCATCGGGGGAGACGATGACGGCTTCTCGGTAGTCGGGGATGTGGGTTTGGATATAGTTTTGGAGGAGGAATTTGCCGTAGAGGTTGTCGACGGGGATGTCGAAAAATCCCTGGTATTGGGGGTCGTGGAGGTCCATGGTGATGATGTGATCGGCGCCAGCGCAAGTAAGAAGGTCGGCAACAAGAGTGCCGGCCTGGGCAACCCATTGCTTATAGCCAGGCTTGGGTCGGAAGCCGTTGATGTTGGTCTGGTTTTCGTAATCGTGAGTCGTAAAGCTTCGTTGTGTGAGGTCGGGGTAGACTCCGTTGGTGTTGGACGCGGAGCTGACGCTGGAGAGGGTGTCCGATCGCTTCGGCGCCGCGTCGCCATTGGCCTCGGCTCCGTGGTTCTTTGTGAGCCTTTCGGTGAGGCCATTGACGCCGTTGGAGAGGCCGGCGCTGCGGGGACCGCCGGGCCGCGGCGTGGGAGGCACGCTCTCAAAGGTGTAGTCCTTCTTAGCAGACTCTGACGATTTTGAGAGAGGCGCGCCGGCCTTGTTATACGGCCAATCGGGCTGTCTCGAGTAGGGGAAGAGAGGGACAACGGCGGTCACTCGCTTGGCGGAGCCAATTTTGCAGGCCGAGATCATGATGCAGAGGTCGATGAGGTTGTCGTTGACGTGACCGGAGCCGGACTGGATAATGTAGACGTCCTTGCCGCGAACAGAATCCTTGATCTCGCAGCGGCTCTCGCCGCCAGAGAACTTGGACAGGATGCGGTCGCAGGCCGGGATGCCAAGGAAGTTGCAGACGTTCTCCGTCATCTGCGGGTGGGAGTTGCCTCCCAGGACGACAATGTTTCTAACCATGGCGACGGCGACAGGCAGGACCGAGACCGACCAGGGTACGAAGTCTTTCGAGCCGGCTGGCGAGAGAAGAAAAAAAATCTCTAGTTGAGGACTGCGCAGAGCAGCAGCAGCAGCAGCAGCTGGAGAGATTTGGAGGGGTCGCGTGAGGGCTTGAGCGATGCTCTAATGCTCGTTTTTTTTCCTGGCTGACCCGCTGTCCGTCAAGTGGAGCAGAGCAAGTCGCAGATGCAAAGCCGTGGTCCAGAGATCCGTTGCCGATTGCGGCCGAGGCTGGAGAGCGCGGGAGTTGACGGAATCAGAGAGCGGCGGCGTTGAGCAGGGCGGCGATGGCGGAGCCACGGGGCAGCAGCAGAAGGGCTCAGGATGGGATTCAGAGCGGCATGATGGTGAGCAGAGATGACGGGAGAGTGGAGATGGGAGAAGGAGAAGGAGAGAAAGAAGAGAGGAGAGGAGAGAGAGAGCGGCTCTGAGTCAGGACGCCGGTTCGACGGCTAGCAACTCCAACCGCGAAAACAGACAGAAGAGAAGAGAAAAAAAAAAATCTGAGGTCGGTCCCGCATCCCGGCGTGCGTCCTGGTGCCGAGACGTGCATGAGTGGGGCCCGCGCACGCTTCAGCGGGATGCAGCAGCCTCGCACAGGCCTGGATGCGCTGTAACTCGACCGCTAACGGGAGCCGCAGCAGCCTGAGAGGTGCCCTGTTTGGCTGTTAAGGCTGGCCCGCCCCTCCACTTGGCGCTGGGCGGGGGGCGGCACTGTGGCGGCACTGTGCGCGTGAAGTACAAGTATGCTTGACCAGACGAAGTTGGCTGGACGACGGTATCGGATTGTATGAAGTACATGATCTGGGGACTGGGAGAACGGCTGATCTGAGAGATGTCATAGGATAGTACCTTATTTGTTGGTGTATCGTTATGACAAGGACCATGTGCACAAGTCCTACTGCAACTCAAGGCTTCCGCTTATTGTCCGATGAGACTCAACAACCTGTCTGAGAATTGCGCCATTGCTACGAAATCCAAGGCAGATGGATGCATGTATAGTAGTATGTGAGACCTGCTGTTGGCTCAGTTTTGAAGACGTCAAGGTACATGATGCAATGCCCTGCAGAGCGGGAGGGATATAGTACTTTCGGCAAACAGTCAAGCGGTGGCTCGTATGTGTGTATGAGTTCCATCTATACTAACAGAGCGCTGGAGGTTGTTACCGCCATTTATGGGTATTGAGTAACATAAGGTAGTGTCTTATAGAGAGACGAGAACAGAATGGCATAACTGACTCTCCTTTTGCCCAGCATCTGTGAGGCATTTCCATTATGCGTCTGCTTATTGTGGCCGTTTGACGTTGGCACAATGCTCGGCAGCACTTGCGTCAGTGCTCACGACAAGCAGAGCTCCGTCACTGTACTCTTTTCTCGTTGCCGGACGAGGCTGCCAAGGTAAAAGGTAAAAGGTACTCGCCATGAATTCGAAGCAGCCAGTGACGCAGTGCATTCCGTCTCATCGCCCCCAAATCCGGCTGCCTGCATGTGATCCTACCTGCCTATTTACAGTCCCTTGGAACAGTACAACTAATAAGAGATTGGCTGCATGTTTCAGCGCTTCTGGAGTGCGGATAAAAGCCCTGCACTGTCCCACCCAGAGCAACTGGAATTTTTTAGCGGTCTGCTAGAAGACGAATTAGTGAGGGGGCAATTGGCGCTGTTGTGATTGGACCGCCGGCTTGCCAGACAGAAAATGCTTGCGTCCCTCCAATCTTTTCTTAGAGCAGCCGTTCTGATGCTACGGCGCAGTTCAGACGAGTGAGACGCCCAGAGACGAGACGGGCGATTGTGTCTCAAATTCTATGAGCCAGAAGTCGACTTGCATTACCTTGGATCGTCCTCGTCCACTCACTTGAGATTCTTGGCTCTCACAAAGCTGAGAGGAACCCAGCCTTCGCCGCCATCATGAAGGTCCTCGAGGCTCAGGCTGCCGTGCTCACTAATTATGAAGTGCTGCAACACCTGACCCAGCAAAAGGAGCGATACAAGCAGAGGAAACGACGCGGCCCTCCTAACCTCGAGACCGTGGTCAGAGAGGTTTGTCAAGAGCCCTGTTTGACTCAATCGAGACCGCTCACTGACACATCTCTTGTGCTCCAGCTCATCCAGTACCTAGAATCGCATCCCAATCCCCTGAGCCAAAAGCCCAGCACATACACCCCCGACAGCATCCCCCGGCTGCTCGAGCGCCTGAGCCCGTACGAGCTCTCCAAGGGCGAGGTCGTCATGATTCTCAACCTGCGGCCGGCGTCTGTGGCGGCCCTCAACACGGTCATTGAGGAGATGGCGGAGCGCTTCAGCGATGAGCAGCAGGAGGAGATGGTGGCCATCATCTCGGACGTCTTGGGCCAGTTTGATGCGGCGCAGGGAAACTCAAACGACGACACTGGCGATGCCGCCGAGGCGAATGCTTCATGACAAGCCCTTTGAATGAACCACGGCCACTTACGACTCGTTACTTCATTTTGGATGAATGAGCAACCGAAAAGACTCTTGCAAGATCTATCTACCTATCTACCCCCCTGTCCCTGTCAAAAAGTCCCGATGGGAAAGCGGCTATGCAACAAAAAACAAATCAGGCTCACATGACTGTACAACCGCCCTCGCTCTGTCCTCCCTTGGCCGTCGTGGTCTTGACAGCCGTCTTACAGATGTCTTCAAACGCCGGCTTCACCAGCTCGCCCGTCACCGCCGAGCACTCGACATAGCGATCTGCCCTCATCTCCTGGGCCATCCGGTAGGCGTCTTGGGGGTATATGATGCCGTTTGGATCCTTCTCGGACCGCAGGTCCCTCTTCAGCCCCATGACGACCACCGGTAGGGTGTCGATGCGGGGGAACGACTGTTTGACCTCGTTGATCCACTGCTGGGGGTCATTATTATGGGCTTGTATGATAGGAATGCTTGAGAGATAACGGGTAATAGATGGGGGAAATATCATGACCTGAGAACAGAAATTCAACAAGGATTCATCACACTGACATATCTCTTCATGTTGATGAGGCTCAGTCGCTGGCTGATGTCGTAGCAGATGACGATGACGTCCGGATCCAGCAGCCGCCAGTTTTCGGGACTGGAAGTATCGTAGAACTCGAACCTGTAGCTCTTTGAAGAGACGTTGACCGAGAAGATGTACGGCTGGTCAATGTCACGGAGGAGCGGGATCGGGTTGATGTGGTCGCCAGCTCTCACTCTCCTGCTGGTAGAGTCAGCAAACGGCTTCAAAACCACTACCGGATGTGGAAGGTTGGGTTCGCTACGGACGAGAGAAAACAGGTCTTGCCGCATTTTGGGTCTCCTACGAGAAGTAGCTTGACGACTTCATCCTCCATTCTTTCCAAGAGATGCCTCGTGGATGAGGGGGGGCGGAGAGAGAGGAATCGAGGTGGGAAGAGATGACATGAGGTTGAGTCGAGATACCTTGGTACTTGAGTTCGAGTGGCGCTTAAATCACCAGCCACAGTTGGCAGAACCCGTCAAGCCACGCTCGTTTTGAACTTCAATTTGAACGTGAAAAATCCAGTCATTAACAGCGAATGAGGGCATAAGAAAGAACCAGCCCTCAAGCAACGAATGGGAAGAAGCAAGTCAAGAGAAGAACAAAAAATGATCTGAGAGAATCTGAGCCGTTCCATTACATGCGACCTTTCCACCAGGGGAATCTCGGCCGCAACATCTGTGGGAGAGCCATCGCCAGCCGGCCGAGCAGGGCCAGCCAAGGACTCTACTTGCACTGCCGCTTGTCAACCGTCAACAATCTGCAGCTCGTTCGCGAGAGGAGGCTCAAGATGTCGGACCAGGGCAACTACAACAACTGGACCAAGGCCGGGCTCATCCAGCGGGTCAAGGAGCTGGAGAAGCAGCTCAAGGCGTCTTCGTCTCACGAGCCCACTTCCACAGCAGCAGATCAGCAGCAGCAGCCGCCAACACGGAGCGAGCCTGGACATGAACAGGAGCAGAAGCAGGACAAGGACGAGGCCGCCGCCGCCGTCCAGCCGGCCAAGAAACCCAAAGCCAACAAGAAGAAGAAGATGGACCCCTCCAAGTACGCCACGCGGTACATTGCCCTGAAGCTGGCGTACCTGGGCAAGAACTTTGGCGGCTTCGAGTTCCAGGCCATGGGCAACCAGCCGTCCATCGAGGAGGAGCTGTGGAACGCCCTGACCAAGGCGTGTCTCATCTTCCCCGAGGACAAGCGCATCGTCGACTTTGAATGCTGCGAGTACTCCAAGTGCGGGCGGACGGACCGCGGCGTGAGCGCCTTTGGGCAGGTCATTGGGCTCAGGGTGCGGAGTAACAGGCCGTTGCCCAAGAAGCAGCAGGTCGAGGGCGAAAACGAGGAGGAGATGAATGTAGACTCGGCAGAGCAGCAGCAGGAGAAGCAGCCGCAAGAGAACAACAAGGCGAAGAAGAAGAAACAGCCCGAGCCCGCCAGGCCCTTTGACGACATCCGTGACGAGATCCCCTACCCGCACGTCCTCAACCGGCTGCTCCCCAAGGAGATCCGCATCCTGGCCTGGTGCCCGTCGCCTCCGCCGGGCTTCTCCGCCCGGTTCTCGTGCCGGGAGCGGCAGTACCGCTACTTTTTCACGCAGCCGGCCTTTGCCCCCGCGCCGTCTCATATAGAGGGCGGCGGCGGCGGCGCAACGGGCCGGCAGCAGGCCAAGGACGGAGGAGGCAGCAGCAGCAGCAGCAAGATGGTGAAGCCCGGCTGGCTGGACATTGACGCCATGCGCGACGCGGCGAAGCGGTACGAGGGCGAGCATGACTTCCGCAACCTGTGCAAGGTCGACCCGGCGAAGCAAATCACCAACTTCAAGCGGCGCATGTTCGAGTCGGACATTGTCGAGGTCGAGGACGCCGCGTCGGCGCTGCCGTACCTCCGCGCGGCGGGCTTTGCCCCCGAGGACCTGGCGTCGCTGGACTCGTCGTCGTCGTCGTCGGGGGAAAGATATCCCAAGGTGTACTACTTCCACGTCCGCGGCTCCGCCTTTCTGTGGCATCAGATCCGGCACATGGTGGCCGTGCTGTTCCTCGTGGGCCAGGGGCTGGAAAAGCCGTCGGTGGTGAGCGAGCTGCTCGACGTGGACAGGAACCCGCGCCGGCCAAACTACGTCATGGCGGACGAGGTGCCGCTGGTGCTCTGGGACTGCATCTTCCCCTCTGACCTGAGCGCGTCCGCCGAGGCCCGTCGCGAGGACGACGCGCTGCGGTGGGTGTACGTCGGGGACGACGGGCCGAGCGGGCGGTTCGGCCAGTTTGGCATCATGGACGACGCGTGGCAGATGTGGCGCGAGAAGAAGATGGACGAGGTGCTCGCCGGGCAGCTGCTGCAGCACGTCTCGAAGCAGGGCAACAACAACAACAACACCGCCGCCAGTGCGGCCAAGGCGACGACGAGTGCTGCTGCTGCTGCTGCAGCGAGCGTAAAGGTGTTTGAGGGCGGCAACGGCGGGAGGCTGAGCGGCAAGTATCCCGGCGTCATGAACATGAAGCTGCTGGAGAGCGCGGACGAGCAGAACGACAAGTATGCGAGGAGAAAGGGGTATGCGGATGCGGAGGATATGAGGGCGAAGAAGGGGTTTAGGAGTGTCAAGGCCGAGGAGGATACCACCATGGCGGATGAATGAATGTATATTTGGGTTGATATGACTGGATAAAGAAAAAGAAAAGGGGCTCTTTTGGGTATATATAGATCTTGCTGAAACAACATACATCTCGGGACATCTCGCACCATGATGCTGTCCTCCCCTCTTATAAGCTCTCTCTACGTTTGAACACGGCTTGTATATCCCCTCAACACGCAACAACCTCCCACTGTTGCTTCTTCCCCCATCTTCAACTCCCCGACTTATCAATCCTCTCCTCCCCCCTCCCCTCATACAAACACTCCCTCACCCCCCTCCACACCGTCTCCACGATCCTCCGCCTGGGCAACAAGCCCGGAAACACAACCACGACGTCCTCCTCCCCCTCGACCACCACGACGAGGTAATACCTGACCTCGAAGCCCAGGAACGCCTCGTTCACGAGGATGTCCTGGATCTTCTCCGTCGGGATGAAGCGCGTCGCCGCGCCGGCGAGGTACGTCGCGGGGCTCTCGCTCGTCTGCACGCCCAGGCCCCGAAGCACCAGCAAGCTCTCTTCCCGATGCACCCGCAGGCTCAGCGCGTAAAACACCGCCGCCGCGACGGGCAGCAGCAGAGGCAGCGACACGGAGGCCGCTATGCGGGCAAGCAGCGTTCCGGCGGGGGTGGTTTGGAAGGCGTCGAGCGCGAAGACGAGGCGGTCCAGCGAGAGCAGCGGCGGCGGCGGCGACAGCTGTTCGGAGGAGGAGGAGGAGACGGGCGACGACGACGACGACGATGATGCGGCACCGCCAAAGGAGCCGCGCTCTTGGACCCAGCGCGCGTAGAGGATGAGCAGCGCGACGAGGGAGAGGGAGACGCGCAGGGCGAGGAGCAGCAGCCAGAGGAGGCGCAGGGGCAGCGTCCGCGGCGGGAGCGTGGTGACGGTGAACTCGGCGGTTGTGGGCGAGGGGCGGCGGATGCGCAGGCGGGGGGCCGTGGTGAGCATGTTTGGCGATTTGCTCTCTCTCTGGATGAGCGTGATGGAGGAGAAAAAAGGGGAATGCCGAGTGTCAAGATTTGCAGTTGCTGTATCGTTCTCGTCCGTCCGTCCGTCCGTCTTTCTCGATGGTTGTGTGGAAGCCGGTGTGAGAGAGTTGGGGGGGTTCAAGGCGGACGGAGATTTGTCTCGGTCAAGTGGCGCCGGCCATTCTATGACAGAGCGGATGATGATGCGCTCGGTGTTGAGAGATGTTGATGAACTGAGTAGACACGAGTGCTGGCGCATCAATTGGGCGGCAGACGCTGCGATGCTGCTGTCGATGCCATGGCTGTGGTGTTGAAGCTGTCAAGTTCAAGCACAAGCTACAGCACCAACTACAGCACTCCCACCCCCTGTAACCCCCCCTCCCCACCCACCATCCCAGTCTCCCAAGCCCCAAGGGTATATAAACCACTTTCTCGTCCCCTCCCAACGGCTGTAATGGTCAAACGGTGAAGGCTCTCACCTCAAGGCCCACCACTTCCCCAATCCCACCCCCGTCAGATCCCCTCCGCTCGACGCCCAGCCCGAACGCCGCGGTGGCCGCCCGCTCGCATGGGCAACCTGCGATTCTGTCGGAATTTTACTGCGGCCCTAAGCAATGGAGATGACACTTTAGGGAGGCTTCACTCTGCAGAGAACTCTCCCCCGTCGCGTGGCGGGCTGGATTACGATCGCGGAGGGCGTGGGTTGGGGTGGTGGGACGGAGATGTCCGACACTTTCTTTTTTTGCACTTTTTGGCATTTGATATCGTTTTTTATGATTATGTGTGATGAAAAAAATACAAGAGGATAGACTGGTTGTTCGAGATTCGTTTCAGCTGCACAGATTGAAGCCAAAAATGCAGACATGTGGTGAAAAGAGGACAGTTGAACCCGTCCCTCTGATCCGTCCGCCACGTTCCACACAAGAGTGAAGCCATCACCAACCACTACCATCACCAGCCACTAGCACCAGCACTCTCCACCACACACACACTCTGTTACACTTCATCACACACACACACACACACACATACAGCCTTTAAACCAAACATCCAATCTCATTAGCTACCGCGTCCAACCAGTGTGCCGCGAGGCAGCCTTGTATAAAATAGTAGCTAACCCTGCCCGGCCATCTCTCTCACTCTCTCCCACACCTCCGACTTTGCAGTCGTTTCCCAAGTTGCATCTGCAATGTGCATCCTTCTCGTCTCCCTCCTCTGCCGCATCAGACGACGCCATCTTCCACATACCAAACTGCTTCTTTTACGTCTCCACCTCCAAAATTGTCCATCATCAATCGTTAACTAGTGAAGAGCGAAAAGAATGCAAAAGAGAAAAGGGCCAAGACGAGAAAAGATTCCCCAAGCCAGAATATACATGGCTTGCATGTTACTTGCAAGCCGTTCATTCCATCAAGAAAACACCCCCTGGGACATGGTCAACGTTGCCAAGCCAACAATGAAGAGAAGTATGAAAAGAAAGGAGTCCCAGCACCGAGTTTGCACATGCTCACTAAAACACATCTGGACAAGAAAAAGGATGCCCTCTTCTTTCCCCAGTGAAAAAGAAAAGGGGGGTTCAGAATTGAAAGACGGGTAAAAAAGAAAACAAATGAATGGCCATGCCCGACTATCGAAAACTCGTCATAAAAGATTTCAAAACATCGTCCCATGCTCACAGATGCCACAGACACAGCATTCGAATTGTGGAGAAGAAAGGCCAATTAAAGGTAGAGAAAGGCCAATCGGAGCATGGAAGAGCCATGGCAACAAACGCATCGTATGCAGACATCGCAAAAACAGTCAAACAGCCAACACGAAATAGGCCAACACCTCCTCGTGCGACACAACAAGTCGTCGTCCCAAGCCTAAAACATTCCGCTCTCGTGCAACCCCATCGACATCTTCCGGCCGTGCCCCTCAATGGGCGATCGAACGGCGTCCCGGTCATACAGCACAGGGGGTGGAATGCCCGCCACGGGCGATCGGAGCTGGTGCAGCGAGTTAGGGTTGCCCTCACCACCGTACATCTCGAGCGGGGGCGACATGATGCCGATGGATCCCTTGCGGCTGCGGCTGCCCGAGCGGAGGCGCTCCGTGGCCTTGGTCCTACGTCCGGAAAGGCTGCCCTCCCCGAGGCTGCGACCGCGGTTGTGGCCCTTGACAGGGGGTTCGGGGGGAGCGAGCACCGGCACCATGCCGTCGTTGGGAGCAGCCGTCATGGACTCCTCTGCCTCGTCGTCGTCCATGACAATCTCAATCATGCCCGAGGCCAGTGTTCCAGCAACAGGCGGCTGGCGTCGCACGTGTGGCAGCGGTGCGGGCGGAGGAGGGGGCGGCACGGCTAGATGCTGTAGCTCCTTGAGGAAGGTAAGGGGCGCCGAAGGAGGAGGCGGTGGTGGAGGCGGCACCAGGTTGTTCACTTGTCGTCGCCATTCCGTCTCTACAATGTCGTCGAGGCCTCTGCCCTCATTGGCACTCCCCTTTCTCCCGTAACGAGCGTGAGGTGGCTCTTCAGGGATCGGTGCCGACATGCTTCGCGGAATCATGGGGCGAGATGGCGGTTGATAGACGGTAGAGGGCAGCTGATAGACAGTCGATGGCAGCAGGGTCAACGGCTGTTGCTCCTCCTCTTTCTGTTGGAACTGCTGCTGCTGCTGTTGCTGTTGTTGCCGTTGTTGCCGTTGATCCTGTTCCTGCTGCTGCTGCTGCTGCTGCTGTTGCTGGAACTGTTGTTGCTGCTTCTGCTCCTCTTCAACGACATTGTTGTCATAAGAGTATTTCGGAGAGTACTGAGGTGAGTTCTGCGGCGAATACTTCTGCGAGAACGTCGCCGGAACCGGTGGAGGAGGGAGATCCTCATACTGATTGTCGTCCGATCGGAGAATGAGCCTCATCGCCTTGGGAGTGGCAGGCAGGCCAATCTGTGGCCTGTTCTGAGCATACATGCTCCTCGGCGGCTCCGCCGTCCTCGGGGGCTCCGTTGCAGAGCGAGGCGGCAGATCGTCCGGCAGCTTCTCGTCCTCGGCTTCTACCAGGATCGGCGGCCTCCCGGGAGATATCTGGCTTGGATGAGGGATCTGGGGACCCAGCTGTCGCTTCGCCAAGGACTTCCTACGTTCTTCTAGCTCTCGCGCAGCCTGTTCCTTCTTCCGCTGTCTCTCATCCTTCATCTTCTTCAGATCACCGGCGTGCTCGGTGGACGCGGCTCGTCCATGCACATTCTGGCTGAAGACCGTCGGCGCAGCGTCCCGGGCCTCGGTCGTCTCTCTTCGTCGGCTGCTTTCCGCATGCTCACGCCGGCTTACGGCGGGAGAACTGGCGTTGTGTCCGACGCTCCGGCTGTGCTTGGCCCTGAACTCTTCTTGCGCCCGCATGGCTGCTCTAAAGTCCTCCTCATCCTCCGATCCCTGGTAATGCAAGGCCGTCGCCGACAGCGGCACCGGAGACGGTGGTGACCGCGGTACTGAACCACCCCTTCCGCGGCTGGATGTCCGCCCGCTAGCCTTGCCTTTCACCACGCTTGCCTTTCGTATCGTCAGGGGCTCGACGGAGTTGTCAAACGTCCGGTTGCTAAGGATGGCCAAGTCTTCGGGGGACATTGGGACTGGGGACGTGGGAGACCTCTTTGGCCTTGTCCATGACCTAGCTGAAGCTCTGCCGCGTTCTTCCGAAGGGTCGCGCGACTTGGTTCGTCGCTCTCGGCTGGTATGGCGGCCGGTGGACACATCTCGAGTCCGTTCTTTGCTCCCGGTCCTGCTTCCGGCTCTCCTGGGATAATTCTGAGCCGCCTCCAAGCTGTGGATGTAATCATCCCTCTGTCGGGCATTCGATTTGTGACTCCGGCCCGCGCTGGAGGCGGATGTGATGGAGCCGGTCACGGAGGCGGCACTGGGTCCGGTACCCCGGCGACGAGACGGCCAGTGGAAGCGAGCGGATGAGGCGGCGGATTGCTCAGGAGACATTGCCTCCATCGTTGCCGGCTGCACCATGGTCTGCAGCTGCAGGTTCAGACCAGCGGGAATCCGGTCACGGGAGCCGTTCCGCTGTGCCGAGTGGACCTCTTGCAGCCTGCTCATGATGTTACGATCCGGAGACGGCGGTCGCTCGCCTCCGTACCCATGCACGACGCTCTGGTACTGGTCTCTCATCATCATTGGGCTGGCCGTGGCAGCGCGCTGCATTGCGAGCCCAGCTGCCATGTTATCCTGAGGAGCGGACGACTTGCGAGAATGGCTCGGCCGCTTCTGGGTCGGCGCATCAACGATGCTTGCGATGTTGTCCAGAGGCTTGTTGGCTTCCCCGATGGAGGGCAATCGTCCACGGTTGAAACCCTGACCGATAGGGCGGGCTGATGTCGGCGTGTTGAACCTGCTATTGCCCGACGGCCGAAGGAACGCAGTCGCAGGATCGTAGGCACCTCCCGGAGAGATGGCCGACTCGGCAATTGGTGTCACTCCAGCCGCAATGGGTGTCTGGCCGCCGTCGTAGAACTTGGCCTTCTGGTTAGGGTCTCCGAACGACGTGATCAGCTTCAGTGCCGATGCCTTGGCGACGCTGCGCTGAGGGCCTCTTTGGATGCCCGGGGGTGACAGCGGAGGGCTCAGCACCTCGGGGATGCTCGGGGTGATGTTTTGGAAGTTGAGCTGGGCAGCTGATGGCGACGTCCAGGGCTCCGAGGACTCCTGGTCGGTGCAAGCAAAGCAACGAATCGCCAGCTGCTGCTGGCCATGCTTGACCGCCCACTCGCCCCATTTGCGCACGATGGCAGCCTGCCGCTCCCAGACACTGGGGAAAGCCACGCAGGTGAGGATGAGAGCCTCCATGTACCGCTTGTGCGAGATGTAGACCTCAATGGCGTCGTTGTAGTCGCCCATGCCAAGCATGATCGTCACCGCGACGTGGACATCGCCATTTTCCAACAGCCGCTGGACATAGACTCGGCCGAGCTTGTGCTGAGATGCCTGGCCGCCAATGCCGCTC